ATGTGACAAGTGTCAATTTCTCAAAACTTATCCAATGCAAAACAAATTGCAAATTACAAATCACACAGAGCACACACCCTCACACACGCAGACAAAATACAAATTGTTGCCAAGTTGAGATTGAAAAGGCTTAAATTCCAAGCAAACTTGCTGTCTGATTGCTTTAGCAAACAATATTAAGTATACCTCTAGCTGTAAATGATACTGCTGCTGTAGCTTCTTCCTTCTGCTTCGGCTATTGTGCAAAAATATTTGCACAAAGTTAGCGCAGTAAATTACATTCGGGATATGGAAATGGCAAACGGAATTTCAAGTTAATCAGCAAGTTATTTGTGTGCTCAACAACGAAATGCGGGCCTTTACTCCAAACTGTTGTCCATAAATATTTGCCAATGATAAAATGCTCTGAATGTTTTTCTTCCAAATAGATGAAATAATGTTAAAAGAAAATAATGAAGTCTATTCCCTTGAAGACAGGCGTAAGTTTGCATAAAAAAAAATGTCATAGGCCTTCCCAATAACAATAATAATTAAGGTATCCACTGATAAAAAAAATAAATATTAAATCTACAATTTATTCCTGATTTAAAAGTAAACAGGTAGTTCAAATCAAAGAAGAAGACGAAAAATCGATTTCTTAAATAAAACGATTGTTTTTTCGGAATCAAATTAATATAAGAAAAACATGTTAAATGCAATGAAATTAAGAGATTATAAATAGAACGCATTTCGAGATTTTTTCACTGAAAATATTATACAAATTATAAGACTATAAGCTGAGTAGAGAATATGGCAGACTTCGCAGCTTTAAATTCAAATGCTCCCCAATCATAAAAGCTTATAATATGTTTGTTAGCTATTTGCATTATTCTGATGCTTTAAATCCCTTTTAATACGTACATCCTTCATCTATTTGACTTTAAACTATGGTTACTCGTTTCCAAGGACGTAGCAACAACATTTTTGGTAATTATGCTAACGAATCCATTTGCTGACTTATCGTTTAACAAAGTGCAAAGTGTACAGTCCAATTTTCGACAATAAAAGTTAGAATGCTTTTGAGCAACTCAAACAATTCATGCAGTTTAGAAATTTAAACTGAAATTCCTGGAATTTCAACACAAATTTGTACACACACACACACAGAAAGACAGACACATATATATATATATATGCATTATGTTGTTGTGTGCACTTGTCAAAGTTGATTGAATCCTATTAGTGTCAATCTTCGTCCTTGACATGTTAGAGAGCAGCCATGCTTTCTTTTTCCTCTTTGCACTCTCGCTGTGTCTGAGGGGGGATTGGAGGGGAGTGGGCTGGTTTTGCTGTCTGTGTGGGTGTACGCATTGTCCTGGTTTCCTCCCTTCCTCGTGGACAATGCATTTCACTTTCACCTGTTGCACCTGCCTCGCAATGGTATGGGTTGTGTCATGCATTACATTGGGAATGTGTAGACCTGGAAAACTGTGCAATAGCTCAGTGCTTTATCTGGGTCGTCATTGGGGCTTTATTTATTACACAGTTGCTCTGATTTTCTTTGATTCAAGTGCTTCACTTTTGCTTTCACTTCCCTCCAAAGTTAATTAAAGTCATCGCGTTTAATTCAGCACAAGCATCAGCTGCTAATGATTTTCTGACTTGAGTATTAGAAAAAAAAAAATTTTTTTTTTTAAATTTACGCTTAGACTCAGAATAAAAATCGGTTTGAACTTTAGAAAATCACAGAAAGAATGAGTGAATTTTAATAAAAGGTAAATAAATAACGTATTAATTTAACTAACGCAGAAATATGCTTTTGACAAAAATATTGATATTCAGATATTCTGATATTTTCTTACTCAAGTGCTTCACTTTTGCTTTCACTTCTTTCAAAAGGTATTTAAAGGCATAGAGTTTAATTCGGGCATGAAAGGAATTGAAAGGAACTTATAAGTATTACAATATTAGTAGACTTTCATTTTTTTTAATAAAAAAATATGTTTTTTAAAATTGTTGCTTACATTTAATTTTTATTATACCTTCGATATCTGAGTATATTGATTTTGTGCAAGGTCCGTCTTGCTGTCAGTCCATCTGTAAGAACGCAACGTTCTTCGACACCCTTAGAGACAGAGACTTGAAACTTGGAACATATATTGGTCTGTGGTCGCGTCTAAGTGTAAAAATTCGATAACATTAATAATCGCAGATCGATAAAGCCTCATATCGCCCACAATTTTAAGGCTACCGTCACCAAATTTTAAAGGTATATTGTTAGTAACAACCTTCTAAGATACGGAAATAAAATCACGCCCTCAAACTTCTCAAATGGCGATATCTCCCGGAATTTAATAGCTACAATTACAAAATTTGGAAGGAAGGTTACTAGGAACCTCCTCTAATATTATTTTTCCCAAAAGCCCATTTCACTCGTAATTTAAGAGCTACAGTTACCAAACCTTGGAAGGAAGCTCCTAGAGCATATTTTTTCAGCCCGTCCCCAAAATTCACAAAAGTCTAAATTTACCGCTATTTTAAAGGCAAGGAACCCCCTTCAAAGATCCGTATTTCTTGGCTACACTCACCTTGTTCTGTGGCACCTGTTATCAGATGGTTTGACTTATTGGTATCAGAGCATTTTGCAGTTGGCTTCGCTCGACTGGAAAGTTCTCTCTTGTTTTTTTTTTATTAAATCGAGTGGTATAAATGGGTTTCTTTGTGGAAGTTTTATTTATCATGAATGTAATTTGATGGCTTCACAAGAAGTACTCAGAAACTCAACTGAGGCAGAAATATGCTTTTGACAGTAAGTGCACAAGAGGTAATTACTCCACGGCAATATATATATTTGTAAAACATATATATATTTATATATATACTGTAAGATTATCAGGTTTATTGACTCGCGTCTTTTATTGATGTGCAGCCTTCAAGGCCTCCTTCTGCTGCTGCTCAATCATCTTCATTGCGCGTAAGTCATAAATTGTTCAGTTATTTTGCGCTGCCATCTGCCAAACAACAGCAGCAACAACAGCAGCCACAACACCAACAATAACTTAAAGCGGCTTTAGTCAGCAATGTCAAAGGCAAATGGAGCCATCATAATATTGTGTATTATATGCTGACAGCTTTAAGGCCCAGCTGCTGACACAGTTTTTCCGTAGGCCGCAAATTGTGTGCGGGCGGGTTTTGGCGGGGGCTGGACGAAAGTGTCAACAAATGAATATTGGGCAATATGAAAGTGGCTGACAATAAAGCACAGATACTTACCAGCACATACACACACACACACACACACATGCACACACACATACAGAATATTGCAATAATGAACTAAAACTATGCGACACCCAGGCCTGACCTACTCGCATATTTAGCACGCGATGCGCACGTGACAATCTCAGCTCAGATCTCAGTGAAACTTCGGTTCCACTAAAAGCTTGGGGTTTTCCGTGTTTAATTTGCCGTGTGCCCTCCACAGACAGTAAGTAGAGTTGCTGACTTAAAAATTACAATTTAACTTTTTAACATGTGTATAATAGTTTTTTTGTAAGCGAATGATTCATGTTAACAATGTGTGGATTTCGTGTGTTCATGAAATGGCGATATTATTAATTAATAATTAATCAATATTTGCTATTATTAATTATTAATTAATATTTACTAATTATTAATTATATCAGACACGTTTTGAAAGTGAGACTCCTGGAAACATCTTCTTTTTATTCCCTGAAAAACTCGCCCTAAAATGACAAACTCCCTGAAGACTAAAAAAATGTTACGATTTGTGAAAATAACTTTTAAATACACAGAAATCATTTTCTTAACTTTAGAAAGGCGTTTTTTTATATGTTTCTGAAATATATTTCGGAAAATAGTAAAGAAATTTTGAGCTCTCGCTTTAAAGGCTCAGTGGGAAGTGAATTAAAAAACTTTAAAAACATTATATGCATTAATAAATTATTCACTGTTCGAATATGTGAAGCCTGAAATTATTAAAGTTCAATAACCATATAAGTAACTTTTCTAAGAACTCTGTGTACACAAATAGAAACATACTGGAAACCTCTTTTTATCTTCTATCTGGATAATTCCAAGGTCCTGTAGTGAGACACAACCTTTCGTTTTTTTTTCTGAATTCAGATTTACGTATATTAAAAGAATTCTTACATACAAAAACAACAACGAAAATTGAATAAGCCCAAACAAACATAATAGTAAAATAAATGTGTTAAAAATTATTTTGAACAAAATGAAAATATAAATATAATACATAAATTAGTTGTAATTATTGCATAAATTTGGAAAAAAAAGGTCCATTCCAATGTAAAAATGCAGATTTCCTTATAGTATTTTCTGGTGCACTTGTGTTCTCAAACAGAAAAATCATTAAACAAAATGACATATAACATGTAATATAAAGATTTCCTTGCTGGTAACTGTCAATGATTGTGTCACGACATGTGCACATCTCTTTAACCATTTTCATAGTAATAATACCAATGCCAATATCAAAATATTGGTCTCTCCCAGCCATTCCACCCGCTCAACCAACCAACAGAGGCCAATGTCATTGTCTGTGCTGTGTTTTGTTATGTGCCCGGCTAATGGCATATCCATTAGACACAAAAGGCCAAATTGCGTGGCATGGCAACGTTTCCGTTTGCCGTTCAATGGCATCCTAGCACTCACACACACACACACATACATTAGCTTGGTGTAAGTGTATGTGTTGAGTAATTTCTGCACTTCTGGCTGGTCGTCACTGCTATTGTCACGCTTCAGGCAAAGTGTGATCCATTGCATAATTGATTTTTATTCATGTGGCCCACAGCGATTTGCATGTGTCTTACTGTGTGTGGGTCATAGTTCAAATTTGTTATGCACAGCATGCGCAGCGCTTGAGTGGTGTGTGCGTGTGATAAGTGTATAAAATGTTGCCAAAAGTTTTTTTTTTATTTTATTTTTTCAACTTATAACTTTTCTAAGCAAGTTTTTCCCCACATACTTATTTGCAGTTCGATTTCGCTTAATGACGCTGATTAAAACATGAACGCACTCGATATGAATAAGCAATTTCTGAGCGTCTCACAGGATCCGCACTCGAGCGATGCCCTGCGCAATCGAACACGGTAAGTTTAGTTTGAGCCCTTCGACCTCTCCACTTAACTGTAAGTTTATTTGAGTGCCCTGTAGCTCGGAACGTGCCTCTAGTTTGGCTCTGCCACTCAACTCACTGCTAGACTTTTACGACAAGCAACAGGAGCAATGCAAATCGGTTACTTTGCTGCCCCTGCCCAGTTGCAACAGCAGCAGCAGCCCCAGCAGCATTGTGCGTCGTCACTCATCCCACTATTATCCCATGCTCGAGGATAAGCAGAAGCCAACACAGTTGCCCCAACAAGTTGCAACCGAATTGCTGGTAAGTAAACTCGTTCAAACTCTACGTTGACAACCTGTTGAAATCAAAGTCAAGTTGAAAATCTTCTTGAATAATGGTATGTTGTGAAGAGACTTGAATTGCTGTATTCCAGCGAGAGTTTTTTTAAATTATAGTTTAAGGCTTCGTATTTTATCTAAAACCTTATTGTTTCCAGTTGATTTACTTGAGTAGAGCCTTTTAGAATAGTAAAAATGGTTTCTTTATAGTTTATTCTAATATATGTAAGCAGCATTATGTATTTAATTTATTTATTAAATTTTTTCCTTAAAAAAGCTTAAGCTTATAGATAGGTCGTTAACTTGGGGTACTTTAGCTATATCTGTTTTCAATTTATATATTCTTTTTATAGACCTATAGGCTTTTCATGTTGTCAAGCAATATTTACCTATTCAGCCCACATTCAGAAAATATAAATGAAAATTGCCACAAATACCTGTTCTCAGAAATCATTTTTAGATATTAAAAAAAATGAAATTTTAATAAAAAAAGACTTTTTTTTTTAATTTTTAAGATATTTATTTCTTAAAAATAGAATGTAAAAGTTCAATAAACATGTATAAAACCCTAGGTACAAACAAAAATTTTTAAATTTTAGAAAATGTACCCTGGAATTGAGCAAATTAAAATTATGAATCTCAGAAAGACACAAACACCGAAAGGCAAGGGAGTTATCCTTGGCTCTAAGAGTTAGACGAATTTTAAGGGCGATTTCTTTGTGATATCGGTAGATCAGTATTTGTACTATTTTGTTGGCTGTGCATAACTGTACATAACTGTACGCCTCTCTTTGCTGCGACTCCTGCCCTAACCGACATTGAACAATACTAACCAACATTCTGTGGCTTAAACGCAGGCCGCATCAGCATGAAAAATATTTTGTGTGCCACGCTCGCAAATTCTGCTGGCAAACGGCTTTCAGGCCCCAGCACTCGCAGGTATTTTGGAACTTTATTTCACTCGGTGCTAGAGAGAGATAGACATAAAAAGTCATATACAGAGAAAGAGAGAGAGAGAGCGAGAGAGCGAGAGCTATGTCAGATTTTGCAGTAGAGCTTAACGGCGGCTTTAACTGACTCTTTGCCCGACCGAATTGCCATTTGACTTTCTACTTTTGGCTTTCCATTTTTATGTGGTTTTATACTCTGTTTTCAAACAAAAATAAAGGGTATATACATACATATATATATAAAGCGAATATCTAGCAGTTTATTTGTTTGCTCCTATATTAAAGCATTTCCCAAAAATAAGTAGAATGCAGGTTTCTTTTGGGGCATGTACAGCACTTCGCTAGAAAGTGTTTCGTGTCAACTGTTTAATGGTTAACATCAGATAATTTTGGGTTAATCGTAAGCCATTTTAATTATAGAAAAAGTTTTGAGTTAATTTCTAGGAAACTTATATATATTTTGTAACTGAAAAAACTGCAATAATTTTAGGGCAATTATCTCAAGAATATTTTGAAGGTAGACAAATAATAAACTCCTACAAAATCAAGTTAAAAACGACTTCCACAACAGTTTTAAATAACACTCGCATTATAATCAAAAAGTCTGTTTTCCAATAGTTTTCACAGCTCTAATAACAGGGTATGGCGCAGTCGTTTTAAATGCGCATTCAACGTGTTTAGCCTTGTGATTTTGATTTGTTTATTTCTTCTTCGTGTGTTTGTGTGTGTGTTATGACAGGTAAACATGGCGGATCAGAAATATTGCAAGTCAGGTGCACTGTCGGGAGCCAAGCATCCGCAGCTGGTGCGTGTGGACACGCCAGTGACGCCACCGCCACCAATACCACGTCGCCTGATGCGGACTAATCGCGCCTGGCAGAATAGTCCAGACATCATGGGTCACGAGGGTGTCGTCTCTGGCAGTGTGTTTGTTTATCCGCAACCGGGCAGCACCACCCTGAGCATGGAGGTCAATCATGGGGGCCAATCGGCGCTGCTTGTTGATTTGGCTGCACGTTCCACATATGCGGATGCCGATGGCATATCGGATGACGACCGCATGAGTTTGGAGAATTCCGTTTTCGATGAGTCACTGACCTCGACGCCCGTCAAGGTCGCCAGCGCCGCTGCCGCCGCCGCCCGCTATGCCATGGCTGGCCAGGTGGCCAAGCGTGCCCAGCGCTCCTCCAACAGCACCGTAGACTCGGCATACTACAGTGGCGGGCATAGCGAACGCTTTGCCAGCAGCAGCTCGACCAGTGTTGATTTTCGCAGTCGCTTCTCCTCGGTGGACACACAATCATCGCTGGACGATAAACCTCTGCTCGGCAGCTCCATTGATTCCCCGAAGGACAATTGCCGATTGGAGCGTGCGGCCTTGAACGATGTAATGCACAAGCTAAATAACAATCTCTATGCCAGCACCAACAACAACATCAACATACACAACAATAATAACAATAAATTGCCCACGGTGCCGGCACGCAAGTTGCCCACGGTGCCATCGAAGCTGCCGCCGCCAACCAAAAGCAACTCGTCCAATTCCAGCGAGAGTAGCAAGGAGCCAAGCAGCAGCAGCAGTGTCTCTGCCTCCGCTTCCACATCGTCGGCTGATAGTGGCTCGAGCACCATTTCCAGTGCCATCATCTCATCCAGTTCGACATCGCTGAAACGTCCAGGACCGCCAGAGCCGCCAATGCGCAATCAACTCAGCTCGTTTGAGTGCATGGACAATGTGGCCAAGGTGCATAGCACAGTGGCAGCTGCACCACTGCCACCACCGTTGACCGTGCGCAATAAGTTGCAACGCAACAAGCCGCCGCCCATTGTCTATCCCAAGTTGCAGCAACGTCAGGATTCGACCCTATCCAGCGATAGCTACTCCATCAGTTCCAGTCCTGGCTACAATTCCAAGCTGATGGAGACACCGCTTTTGGCATCCACGCAAGCCACACGCAAGACCCAGTCATCCAGCGTGGTGGTGCAGCAGCGGCAGCCATTGATGGACTTGGCACCGCAGAGATTTGGCGGTAATCAGGCGATGCCGTTGCGCAGCAAGTTGAACTTTCGCCAGGACTCGAACATATCCAGCGATAGCTTCAGTCAGACCTCCAGTCCCGGCTACAATTCTAAGCTGATGGAAGCACCTCTGCTGCCCGCATTGTCCGCCAAGCGGCTGTGCAGCGCTCCAGCGCCGATTGTCTGTCGGCAGGGTGTGCTCCCAGAGCCTATCGAGGAACTGGAACCGACGCCGACGCTGTCGCCGATGAACAAGTGCTCAAGTGCCACGCCCAGCAGCCTACAAACAATTGTGCGCTTCCAGAATGGAGCACCACACACCATGTACTTGCAGCATCAGGTAAGCTACTAATCCCATCAAAACTATCTTTGCTTCTTCTGCTACAAGTTTTATAGCCATGTCTAAACATATTCCACAGCAATTTGTTAAAACTGAGCCGATTTTCAAATCAGGGCTTTTCGGTTATGGTTTGACCTCTAGTTTAATGCTATATTCAAAGTTGGCCACGCTTGATTTTCATGTTAAATTTATACTCTCAAAAAGTGCTTCCAGGATCGGTTCACACTTCCACAGCCGTAACTTTGTCAAAAGTGATTGAAATTTCAAATAATCATGGCTTTTTAATTATTAATTAATTATAATTAATTATATTATTATTCACCTCTATAATATTACTACATCGAAAGTTGAAATTCTGTCTAGTTATTCATGTTAAAATTATACTTTTTATGTACTTTACACTATAAGGAATAGAAGATAACCCCAGAGTACATAACATAAATATATTCCTATATGTCCGTTTATCTTTATCTATTCAAGCAAAAGCTTGTCATTTTACCACCCATGGAGTTCCCTTATGCAAAATACGAAGTTTTCCTCTAAAATTATCAACATTTAATTACTATATCACATTTTTTAATGTTACAAATTCGAGCTGTTTAACTCAATAACCTTAAATCTGAGCGCGGAGATTTTGGTGTGTCAGGGCGTATATATCTTCTACGGATTTCGCTGAATTTTGAGTGGTTTTTAATCGCATTATGTGCTTTCTCCTCCACACAGAACATCAATCGTCGCAAGAGCTCCAATCCGTACATTACCAATGGCCGCTTGAAGTTTCGACTGTTTCAGATACTGATCAATGCGTTTGCCTTGCTGGCCATTGCTGGCGGCTTGGCTGCGTATTTTAATGCCTATCCGACCGTTAAGTATGTGAACAAGACAATTATCAATACCATCCATGTGGAGGATACATCGAGCGATGGCAAGAATCCGTCACCGGGCAACTGTCTGCCCATCATTGTCAAGTTATGCCAAGGGCCGCAGATACCCTACAACTATACGACAGTGCCCACCTACATTGGGCACTTTCGGCAGCAGGATGTGCAAGTGGTAAATATCAGAAGACAAGCTGCAATTTAAGTGCATTAACACATTCCCATTGACAGGATCTCGAACCCTTTGAGGCACTGGTGGAAGTACGCTGCTATGAGCTAGTCTCACTCTTCCTTTGCTCGCTCTTTGTGCCGAAGTGCAGTAAAACTGGGTGAGTAATTGATTTTCAGTATATAAAGTCAGTCATTTGATTTAATTATTCACCTTTCACGCCATATAATCGACCGATTTGCAGCCATTCGATACCGCCCTGTAAAACGCTCTGCACGGAGACGATGCGTCGTTGTGGCTTCTTCTTTGATGTTTTTGGCTTGAGTCTGCCCGAGTATTTGAACTGCAAGCTCTTCCAGGACTCTGCCAGCGCCGAGGACTGTGTGGGTTTGGATGAGGTGCGTGATGTCATGATTTCATCGGCGAATCCCAAATGCGATGGCTTCCAATGCGACACGAATCGCTGCCTCCCCAGAGAATATGTCTGCGATGGCCATTTGGATTGCATAGATCACAAGGACGAGCTCAACTGTCCACGCTGCCAGGAGGGCGAGATTTACTGTGGCGACGATCGTTGCTTTAGCAACGAACGCGCCTGCGATGGTGTCATCGATTGCCCCTACGGCCAGGATGAGCGCAATTGTTGTAAGTGTCCATTTTATAGATATTTGGTGTTGGACATGCTTTCTTCTGCCTGTTACATACTTATGCACAAAACCATTATACCCATTTCACCTATGTTTGAATGGTTCATGGTATAAATTTATCTGTTTATGTATCGTACTACTTGAGCATATCTTGAAATTAATAAGAGAATCGAGGTTTAGAATATAAAATGAATGATTTCCTTTACCAAATACAACTTCAAATGCATTTTTGGGATATCTACACCGATCCAATTTATTTTTAAACTCAACTAGATCACTTTCACTTATCTAAACATGTCTTTAACAATTTTGTATTGGTTTGCTGCAGTGCGTCTAAGCGAACGCAATGGCGATGTTGGCTCTGGTGTCTTGGAAGTGTATCGCATCAATAAGCATCAATGGATGCCCGCCTGTGTGAAGAATTGGGATCGTGCCGTTTCGCCCAGTGCCGTTTGTTCCATTCTGGGTTACTCGGCGGTGAATGCCACCAGTGTGGTTACTCAGCGCACACATCGTCCACTGCTCGCATCGGTTAATGTCTCCACAGATATTTGGAAGTTATATGCAAAGCGACGATCCACGCTGATGCAGGAGTTCGCCAATTGTAGGCAGTCGGAGGATTATCCCATTGCGGAGCTAACCTGCTCCAATTTCGGTGAGCTCTAAACCTGCCAATTGTGACTTGCCTTAATGATTAACTCAATCCCAACTTGATTTGCTTAGAGTGCGGCAAGGTGAAGCGTGGCCGGCACAAGCCCTCCAGACGCATCATTGGCGGCTCTCAGGCAAATCCCGGCAATTGGCCATTCCTGGCAGCGATCTTAGGTGGACCCGAGAAGATATTCTATTGTGCTGGTGTTCTAATATCCGATCAATGGGTACTCACCGCCTCCCACTGTGTGGGCAAGTAAGTTGCCGCTGAACTATTTTCCCAATCCACTTACTTATATGATACTCTATACAGTCATACGATTATCAATCTGGAGGATTGGACCATACAACTGGGTGTTACGCGTCGCAATTCGTTTACCTATTCGGGTCAGAAGGTCAAAGTCAAGACGGTCATTCCACATGCCCAATATAATACGGCCATTGCGCACGACAATGATATAGCACTCTTTCAGGTAGGTATTCTGCTAGGTCTACTTCTTAAAACACGATATTAGAATCGTAATCTATTTTTATACTTGTAGCTTGCCCAGCGTGTTGCATTCCACGAGCATCTGCTGCCCGTATGTCTGCCACCGCCGAGCATCAAGAGTCTGCGAGCCGAGCAGCTCTGCACTGTCATTGGCTGGGGCAAGCGCGAGAATAAGGATCGTAAGTGATCTCCACAATTCATCAAGATATCCTAGGCATTATATATAAGTTCAATTTATAGCCAGAACACCGTATGAGTTTATCGTGAATGAGGTGCAGGTGCCGATTATAACACGAAGCCAATGTGACCAATGGCTGGAAAACTTGACTATATCCGAGGGCATGGTCTGTGCGGGCTTCGACGATGGCGGCAAGGATGCCTGTCAGGTAGGTGCACCACATATATACATACATAGATAGTATATCTGTCCACTACTTAAGGATTTGTTATTTTTTGCAGGGCGATTCGGGTGGACCTTTGCTCTGTCCGTATCCGGGCGAGAAGGATCGTTGGTTTGTCGGCGGCATTGTCTCGTGGGGCATTATGTGCGCTCATCCCAAGCTGCCTGGTGTCTATGCCAATGTCATCAAGTATGTGCCCTGGATCCATGAGCAAATCCAAAAACATTCGCGACCCGCTTACGAGGAACCAGTGCCCAAATACGATCTACATCCGGGCGGGCCCGATATACTATCGAAAATGTCCGCCGGACCGGTGAGAAAGCGTAAGCCCTATAATTATCATAATGGCAAGCCCAAGGGCATTGACTTCTACGACAGTGAGGAGCGTAAGTAAGCTGCCGTCTATATAGGCCAGGCACTCCTCCATCCCCTCCCCGTAAATGTAATCCTACATACAGATTCAGATGTATGTATGTATAACTAGCTTATATAGTGAACAAATGACGAATGATCAAATTTGAATACAGCATATCCTTGAAACGTTTGCACAAAGTACAAAGCAATACTGTTGTTGTACTCAATACACACAAGAAACACACACACACACAACCATTGATAATAATATACGATATATATAAATATATATTTATGTATATATTTTGCTACTGAACTTGGGATATTGCTGGTTTTGAGCCAGTACAAAACACACACACCAAAAAATAAAAATAAAATAAAACAAACAAAATCTGGGCAACATAATCGTATGTCAATTTGCCGAATTTATTTGTCAATTTTTTTACAAAGAGATTTCTATGAACCGAAACCACAAAATCAAAACCTAATGTCAATATATATTGCATAAACAATGTGCATACATTCATATATATAGTATTGTATACGTATCAAACGAAAAAAAAACACAACAAATATATATATACATATAGAAAGCCATACATAATCCCTGTGTCTAAACCCAAAATAAATATTTATCGTGAAACGTGGACAATAACAAGCGAAATTTTTTGTTAGACAAAAAAATACAGAAAAAATCCCGAAAATCACAACACATAGAGAATAAGATAAATGTAAAAGAAACTTAAAAGAATCAACACTAAATAGCTTGGTGTCTGTATATGTGACTATAAAGATGAACTTAAGACAAAAATGTATGATTGCCGCCAACAAAATAAAAAAATAAAAAAAAAATCCAAAAAATAAATACAAATTACCGCTAAATAAAATCAGTATAAAACTGAGCACAACTAAAAAACTAAATAGCAAACGTAATTTAAAAGAAAAAAGTATTTATAGTTATAAACTATTATGTGTTAAACTGTGTATGCAACTAGAAATTAGAAAAAGCAAACATTTATAGACAATAATAAAAGTCTAAGAAAAAAAATGAAAGAAAAACGGAAAAAATTGCTGATCTAAAGCATTTGATGAGTACATATTTCAATATCGCAGAAATTTCACAAATAATGAAAACATAACTGATTTTGCAACTCAAATGAAACGTGCAACTGACAATAAATATGCACAACAATTTTTCCAAAAAAAATGAAAAAATAAATAAATAAATAAAATAAAATCTAAGTGAAATTGTAGCTGTTATTTAAAAAAAAGAAAAGAAAAAAAACAATAATGTCTTTTTAAGGCAAACAAATTTAGTTATAGCAAAGTCATGAAAATACTTAACTACAATGCGTGGGTTTCAGCTTTAAATAAAAAAAACAAAAACTTGAACATGGAAAACGTACAGAAAATGTAGCGTAAAATAATAACGTACATATATGTATTATACATGCATATATTGAGGCTAAATTGATGTACTATTTACAAAATGGAGTCAACCAATGATAATTAAATTGTATACATGCTTTTTAAATGTAACGATAACTAATATTTATAGCTATATACAACTAAAGTTATGTACTTGTTTAGCATGCGCATTAGACTGGACGCCAACAACTAAATAATAGTAAATAAAATACAAATAGTTACCAGTTTTTAGTTATGCTCGACTAAAATCAAGTCATACATTTACAATATTATGTTTATATATGTTTCGCTTAGGCGCTGATCCAGTACATTCCGCACTTACCTATGCCTATGCCAACTAGTATATACTAGGGCCATCTACTGCTAGAGTGCTACAATTTTTACAACTATTTTGCAAATAAAAACAAAAACAAAAACAAAAAAGCGAAGTTAATGAAGAAATTGCGTAACTAAAGACTCAAAATTGGTTGTTTCAGGCTTAACAAAAAAAAAAACGAAGAAGAAGAAAACCAAACACTAAAGAAGAATGTGTAAAAATAAAAAAAAAAAACAAATAAAAAACATCTTTAAATATGATTTACGTTTTCTATCGTTTCTAGCTAAACTTGTTGAAATGCTTTAGATGAGTATTACGAATATTACGAGTATATATACGTATATTCAAGTAAAATAAATACCTACAGACAAACAAAAAAAAAAAAAAAACAAATGATGTGTGTATGTGTATAATCTATAACAATTAGCATTAGCTGGTACATATATACTTTCAGTATATACATGTTTTGTACAATCAGTTTACAAAAACCCAAAAAAAAGCAAGTGGATTAATGTATTATTAGTCTTATATATTATTATATAAATACGTATACTATATGTATGTGTATACATTTTATTTGTAAGCGACAAATGAAGCGCATATTACACAAGGCACACGACAAAACATTTTATTAGTGTAAGCTTAAGGCAAAAAAAAAATAAAATTAAATAAAAATTAAATATAAAAAAAGAGTATAAAAACGATGTACGTGAAATATACAAGAAATATACATATATCGAAAGAATATACATATACAATATATAGTATATATCAAGTAGCTGTAGCTTTAAGCAGATGTGATGGTGTCTAAATTTATACATGCATATTCAAGTGACAAAATCAAGTGTTTATACATATATGAGTACATAAGTACATAAATACATGGAGTATATATACATATACATGCATATATATACATATGTGTGAAACAGTGGGCTGTTTCTATACATTTCTATAAGTTCATGAACCAGCCGTCGTGCAGAATTACAACTTGGGGGACGCCTAATTATATTAGACTCATTGGACTGGACAGGACTAGACAGGACAGGACAGGACAATACAATACAAAACATAATTATGCTTGTGTTAAAAAATGACAAATGCTATGTTCAATATATCGCGCGGTACACATATTAACAACATACAAACATATATAGAAGGACAATGACATTTATATATACATATTAACGCATTCTACGTAGCTATTTATGTATGTCTGCATGTGACTCTACTTACAGAGAGCTTTTCATTTCCTGTTGTTGCCTTTGACAAGTTTTCCATTTTCATTGGGTTTTCAGTTGAGTTTGACACACTTATTTCCCGATTTCTTTGTGCATTTATAATCATGTTAAGGGTGAGCTATTTTTATACCTATGCTCCAGGCTACTATCAAAAACCAACGCTTAGCTTTATGTATATTTAGTCTAAAACAAATACATATATATAAATAAATAAATATATATATATATATATATACACACATATATATGTATATATATATAGATGTAATAATGCTTAGCATTGGCAAGTGAAATAAGTTATATACATAAAACATACATACATATGTGAAACTCAAGAAGTATACTTACATTAGCCTACGATTATTGAGATAAAACACAAACACACAGACACACCTGCGTACATATAACTATATAGACAATTGGTCTGAACACTCACACACACACACGCACACACATATAACAACTGCATGAACCGTAAATACCATATACTAGTTAATAAATTGCTATGCTTAAAAATGAAATGGGCCTAGCCAGATGTTCAATTTCAATGTGCTTGAGAACGTAAATACTAAAAAAATAATAAAATATTAACAAACAAAAGAAGTAAAAAAAAAACCAAAGAGCAAACAGAGACAATATAATAATGTAGCGAAATGTTAAATGTAAATGTAGCAAAAATGCAAAATGAAGACAAAAAAAAACATAAAACTAACAACCAGAAGCTGACTAAAAAACTAGTTGAATTTACATATGATATCAGAATATACATGCATACATATACATATGTATATGGTTAAGGATGATCATGTTGGTGAAACGCACTTGTTAATTATGCACAGAATGAAAAATACGAGAACTTTTTAAAGAATTTACATACATATAGAAATGAAACCTTGACAATAAAATTGCAACTGATTTTTTATGTTCTTTTTTTCGTCAGCTGTTCAGAAATGACATTGAGAATTTATGAAACGTTTTACATTTGAATTTGTTGAATAGAGAATATGCAGCGGAAAATTGTTGACTTCTTTTTTTGGCAAGAGATGAAAAGGCAAATGCCATACAATAACTAAGAATGTGCATAAACCAATTAAATTACACACATACACAATGAAAAGAAATACACTCTTATAACCAACTAAATGCTATAAGCAAAATGTCATACATATATACATACTATATACTTACATATATAAATGTTGAAAAATAAATGTATAAAACTATAAAAATGCAAACACTGCTGTTATTTATCTATTTGTCTTTATAAATCGTAGAAAAAGAGGGTTTTATTTTTTTAACAGGTAATTTTGTTTCGCATAGTGTTTGTCTTTTAAAACTTTAGACTTAATGAATAAATTCTATGAAAAATTCACATTTTTCATTTGAGGTAACTCTTTACAACATTGCGCATATCACCGATGACCTGGCGCTGATCGGCTGCACCGACTACAGCTGTGCCGGAGACAATCCAGTTGGCGCCCGCCTTGGCACAGCAGTCAATGGTTTTTGGACCGACGCCACCGTCGACTTCAATATCCAGATTTGGGTAGTTGTTGCGCAGCCACTCAACTTTTGGCATCATGTCGGCCATGAACGATTGACCACCAAAGCCAGGCTCCACTGTCATGACCAGCACCAGATCCGCCAGCTCTACATATTTCTCAATGTCTTTCACCTGAGAAAATTTACAAAACATGTGTTTCTTCGTTATTAGTTTCTCAGCGTGCATTCAGACCTAACCTCAACTTACACTTGTGCCCGGCTTAATGGCTAGGCCCACTTTCATGCCAGCCTCCTGTATCAGTCGGGTGACCTTGCACACATCCTCGACGGGCTCAATATGAAATGTGTACAGATTGACGCCTGCATCCGACATGGGTGCTATCCATTGCTCCGGATTCTGCACCATCATGTGCGTTTCAAAGAACGCTTCCTATATATTAATCAAGAGTATTTATTAATACACTTATGGTAGTATCACCTTAAGCCACAAGCTCACCTTGATTTTGTTACGCAAACACTTGACCATGGGATGTCCAAAAGTTAGATTCGGCACAAAAGTGCCGTCCATCACATCCAGATGTAAATAATCGGCACCATTGTCCAGCAGCTTTTGTGACTCCTCTGCCAAATTGGCTAGATCGGCATTAAGTATAGACGGACCGATTTTCGCTTGAATCGACATGTTGCCAGAGTTTTTACAGACGCAGCGCGTCGTTTGGCAGTTGGGCAAAGCCGTTGTGTCTAATTTGGCTAAGGTCAAATTGAGGGGAGCGGCGTCTTGATATTTTGACGGTTTAGAACGTAAACAAGTCAAACGAGGGCAGCACAAATCTGGAAACGTTAACACGCGAATGGCCAAGCAATTGTACATTTCAGCTCCGACTTCAATTTGTTCATTTTTGTTTTTCGCTTATAAAAACGTTACATGAGAATGTAGATAAGAGTGCTTAGTTTCTATTAATACAACTATAGTTCGTCTCTGGCATATTCGCCTGGATATTCCTTGTTCTCGATGGTAACACCCTTGCAGCGCTGTTGTTCAACCAGAAAGTCTTTTGCCTCCCAGGCCTGTGCACCATCCTTGAAGAGGAATATTGCACGATTATCGTCGACCATATAGCGTTCAGCCTGTATATGATTATTCCACAAACTGGTCTGCCAGAGTTTCGTTATAGAGTCGCCTTCATCGCGAGTCGGATTTCCGCTGACCGACACAAATGTCATCAAAGTGCGACCTTTTTTCGACACTTTGAGCAGATCTTCAGGATTCTTACTGTCCAAATTGGAAAGATCTATCTTAGGCTGTGGTCGCAAATGTTCAGGCAGCTCATCGGGCTCAAGCGGCTCCTCATCTTCCTGCCAAAGTCAATTTATCATTGTTTATTATTTATTATTAGTTAATTTTAATTTTAACAGACATCCCACTGGTCCAGCAGTCGCTCCAAGTCCGCTTCGCTGTAATCGCGTATATCCTTCTTTGCCCAATCCGGTTTATCTCCGTCCTTGTATTTCTTGGATAGTACAACGGGCACAAGGGCCAACATAAGCAATATTATTGTTTGTTTCATGTTAAATGCAATTTTCTTTACAGTCTACACGTCAGCTTTGGCAGTTTTCTGGCTCGCCGACAAATTGGTATTCACAACGCGTTGTCGCAAAAAAAATATGACATTCGCTGGCAAGCGCGAACAAAACAAAGAATTTGCTTATATTTAAGTGTGCCCCTATTTTTCAAATACCATAATATAGTAGATAAGTGTTGTACACAAAGAAAACGAAGGTAAAAAAACACTACATCCGCTCAGAGCGCTGACTGAAATTTGTTTGTAATATCAACGAAAAATAAATAGAGAGAAGGTGAGTGAGCATAAGGGATGGAGAGCACTGCTCACTGGGTGTTGTACTTATTGGGCAACTCTCGTGACATTCTCATGGGAACGGCACACGGCACAGCTGTTGCCAATGAGAATTCAGTTTTTACCGAGAGCTCTTCAGTGGCGCGCGTGTTCTTCTAATTGCGCATTGAAAATGCCATAGTTGGCAAGGTAATTTTTTGCTGTTGTGTTTACTACTACTGTGTGTAATTAAGATAAAGTTTGCATATACATGGCAATTGAATGGCTATGTGAATAGCTGAAGTGTGAAAGAATACGGAATAATTCATGGTTGAATACAGTCTTATATCCACACAAACACGTAATACACACAAACACACACCCACATATGGAAACTGCTTGTTATGAATTAACAAAATATTTATAAACAAAGTGATCTGCGTGAATTTTTTTGTGTTGCTAAAATGCTTGACGAAACACTGAATAACATTGTCTGCCTATTCTGTTAGAATGTTTTTAGTTGTTTCCACTGATGGCTGATGGCGATGACATCATCATCATCATCAGCACTGAGGTAAATTCTGTCTCTCAATTCCAATTTCATTTTGTTCAAATGTTTAGAAATCGGCTAAATTCCTACAACGAGAGTGTTTAATAAAACGACCACCATAATCCACACACAAGCAAGGTTAAGCAGTAATAAACAACGAAGAATTAAAAATCAATAAGCAGCCGTCTTTTGGCTGCCAACAGCTGGTTTTTTTTTTGGGACATTTGAGAACGGCACAAGTACAACGCCGGCAAAAGCGAAGACGACGGCGACGACGACGGCTCCAGGATGGTATTCGAGGCCGTGGTGGCCGATGTCCTCAACAAGGTGCTGGGCGATTACATTGAGAATTTAGATCACAAGCAACTGAAAATTGGCATCTGGGGAGGTGAGTGTTCAACCCTAATTCCATTCTTTTCGTATACGTATCAAAATGACACAATTACAAATGGCACGCAATTTGTGCCAATTCCCAGCACGCATCACATTTTGTTCGTTCGTCTGGCCTTATCCTTCAAAACATTTTGTGCTTTTTTGCACAGTGACCCAATTCCGAAAGAGTGGCAAATTAAATTCGCTTGGGAGGCAGAGAGTCGCATCACAAATCACTCTCCCATGTCCGTTTGAGACTGTGTGAATGCGTCTCTGTTGAACTGTTGCTTCCGCCGCAAATGTTTTTGTGTACACCGACCAGCCTCACCCCTTCCCTTATCCCAACAAATGTTGCGATTGTGGCATCTGAAGAGCAAGAACAATAACAACAACAACAGAAGTGGCTTCAGCTCTTTGCGGTTATATTTTATTTCTTATTATCTGCAGCAGTGTTGTATTACTCTTGACTACACACACACACATGCACACACACACACATGCACACACACACAAACACATGCACACACACATGCACACACACATGCACACACACATGCACACACACACACATGCACACACACACACATGCACACACACACACATGCACACACACACACATGCATGCATACGCATATAAATATATTTATATTGCAAAACAGAATATTTATCAGCAAGTTGCGCAAATTACACCATATACAACTGGAACGTTGACACTTTCGTGAAACGCATTTTCGAACATTCTCCAAATAGGTATAAGTACAGATTGTAGGTAAAGATTGTGTACTCCAAACAAACATTTAACATAGTCGAGCACATTTTGAGCCACCTTTTGAACCATCCAAAAATTGTAAGTTATTAAAAAGGCCATGTGACATGTATATAACAAATAAACTGGTTTGTTTCGTCTCTACAAGTTCCAATGAAAACCAAGCCTATTTTGAACTTGAACTTGATGACATAATACGTTTGTCATGAATAATTTCTTTGTCGAAAACAGCTCTTTATTATATGAAAATGCCCGAAAAAAAAGCATAAGAATAAATATATTCAGAGCTGTTGTATTCGTGTTCAGCTTGTAGCATCAATTTACTTTTAGTACGCACTGTAAGCAAGTTTGTTCTGGTCTGGTCGAAGGGCATGCTTAATGCACAACAATTTTGACATTTGAAATTTGTTAAGTGCTTCTCTTAGAAGAAACGCCCACATCTTCGAAGAATAATTTATAGTTTTTAAATTAATTTATTTTTTATTAACATTTGCCGGGGAATCACTTTACGATGATCAAATCCATGATGATCAAATCCAGATGTGAATGTTCGTGCAAATATGTACACATATACACACTTATACATGTAACTGAAAAAATAATAATAAATAAATATGGCATAAGTACTTGAGTTGCACTTATATTAGTAGGTTAGGTTTATAGTAGTAGGTATGGTTAGGTTTATAATAATTACGTTAAGTTTATAGTAGAATAATATAAATAAAATTAATTTCTGAATTCGGTTTTGCAAGGGCATGCCATATATTTCATTGATTACCAGCGATAATAGAGTCAATATGGAGTCAATCAGGGTCTTAAAATCTTTAAATTGCCTACCTTCCTTATCAATTTAACGGGACAACAGTCACCAAACGTTTTTAATAATATATAATTCCGGGGAGTATGGCGACTGCTTGAGCACAATTTGGTCCACTGTTTTACTGCCTGCAATTTACATGGAATTCGTCCAAAAATATCTGAAAAAAAAAGTTTATTGGAGTACATTTTTCTATACATTCAAATTAATTTTTGATGAAACGAATCTCATCATTACATCATATGTACAAGTGTGGCGGCAAGTTAAATAACATTTCTTCATTTACAAATTATTTTTGTAATAATTAAATCCATTGAAAGACACTCATCGTTCCTCGCATTGTAGCTTAACAGGCAAAATTGAGAGGTTGTATTTATTTGTATTAATTTTTCATGGCATTTAAGTGCATTCTCTTTAAAAATTGCATTTAATCAACGATTTCGCTCTGGCTTAGACCAAAGTCGTTCAATGACTATCAGCGATCCCTAAAACAAAACAATAAAAAACTACGGTAATTATTTTGATTGAGAAATAGTAAAAGAACTAACCTCGTTCCATCATAAGAAATCTAATCAGATGAGCAATAAATGGACTTTCAGCGAATATAAGTTTCAAAAATACATTAATATTTTATTTGCGGTGCCTAAAAACCAAGCCAAAGTACAACATATTCTGGTATATATAACATAATACAAAGATAATTGCTTAAATTTATTCAGTTTAGCGGCGCTGTATAAACACATACATATACCCTGTATATGTATACATATGTATGTATATGTATATATACTGATTCTGATTCATAACGCCATTGTGGGAATCTGTAAATATTTAGGTGGTTAACTGATAAGCGCCAATCGCTGGCGAAACCAGTTCAAAAGATTTCAAAGAAAAACACTCATCATAATTGTGCCTCATAAGACTAGAGAACTTTTGTAGTTAATTTTAGTATATTATTATTGATTTTTGTATTAAATGATTATCTTTAGCAGTGTATAATGATTACTCTACTTCATCCCACATATATTTTGGCCTCAAGAAAATGTATTATTAACTAAATTAGGCTATTTGAATTTGACAACTAAAGCTCCCACTTAGATATCTGAACTTTAAATCGAATGTACAAAATGAATATCAAATTATTTTGCAATCAGTTAATAGTTTCAAATGGAATCTTCACCTCTACCCTCTGCCTTGTCGGCGCAATTATGTCACTGATAATACGAAGTAATTCAATTGAGTCTAAGCAATCGATTGCCGTTGATTTATAGAGGGGTAGCTTTGTTGATCGTTAAACAAATTGACCTATATAAGTAAATCAATAAATATTCACTGCTTGGGGTTAGCTCCGCATATCAAATCTTATTTTATTTATTTTTTTTTGGCATGCCAGGCATAACAAACATTTGGAATGCCAGACACGCCCAAATGGTAGCCTTTAAAAGCCATCTGTGTTCGCATAAGACTCACATTTATAGATATACATACATACGTTTATAGATATTCATTTCTTATATTTTTACCGCTAAATTTTACCGGCGTTTGCTTGCACGCAAAATTCTCCACGCATTTTGTCGTAATTAATCAATTCGCTAATTGCATAAATGAATACTGTACATAATTGTTAATTAATGTTAATGTATGTTTTACTATTAAATAAGGCGATGTCGTTTTGAAGAACCTCAAGATACGTGGCAATGCGCTAGATGATTTGGATCTGCCCGTGCAACTTGTCTATGGCTACTTGGGTGAGTTGGAAACCTATCTAAAAAACACGATACACGCAACAACTTTAACTAATTAAACTTTGAAATTGTAGATAAACTGGTGCTGAAAATACCCTGGAAGAATTTGTACAGCCAGCCTGTTATTGTTGATATTGAGGATCTCTATGCGCTTGTCACGCCCAACAACAATGTGGTCTACAATGCCGAAAAGGAGGCCAAATATGCGAGTGCAGCTAAAATGGCAGCTCTCGATGCTCTGGAGGCAGCGCGCAAAAAGGAGCTTGAGAAGGGTAAACACCTATTTCGATTATAGTCACATAGTCAATATTAAAAGTGTCGTTTTTCTTTCTTGCAGCGACGGCCCAAGTAGATGCTGGTTTCGCCGAGAAGCTCACCGTCCAAATCGTCAACAATTTGCAGGTGAAAATCGGCAATGTTCACTTGCGATACGAGGATAGCACAACGACAGGGAGTCCGTTTGCCTTTGGCATAACCCTGCACGAGCTGGAGCTCTACACGACGGACAACAACTGGGACAAGTGCTATATGACGGAGCGTGCGCCGCAGGTCTTTAAAATTGCGAATCTCTCGTGCCTGTCGGCCTACATGAACTGCAAGGCAACCCTCTTTGCGCAGAAGGATCCCAGCACACTTCCCGAACTGTTCAAGTCTAATATAGCACGCAAGGACTTCAGACCTTCAAAGTATTGCTATGGTAAATGGCTGAGATGAAAGATTTTGCATAAAATTCTGTATCTAATATTGTGTTTGCCTGTTTCAGTTCTGGGTCCCATTTCGTGTAATGCCAAGCTGAAGCTAAACATGAATCCGGAACTGGATATACCGGCTTATGAAAAGCCAAAGATTGATTTGTGTTTGGAAATGGAAACGCTAAACGTCGGTTTAACTAACACACAGTTCCAAAATATCATGCAACTGGGCGATTCCATGAATCGCATGCAACTGGGTCTACCCTATCGCCAATATAGACCCTTCAATATACGTAAGTGTCTCAGCTAAAAAGTCGTATATTGATTATAATTCAATATTTTTGTTATCTACTTTACCACACAGCTTACAAGGGTCACTACCGAGAGTGGTGGCACTTTGCGATAACTTCTGTGCTCGAGGTTGATGTACGTCGTTCGCGTCGCACTTGGAACTGGGAGTATATCAAACAGCATCGTGAACGCTGCAATACCTATGCAGAGGTAAGGTTTCTACAGCAAACAGATCGGTTAAGCAAATTAATATTCCTCCAATATGAATTCGAACACAGAAATACAAGGAGCGCGAGCAGAGTAAGAAGCCGCCTCAAATGCTCGTAGAGACGTGTAATATGTTGGAGCAGGAGCTGGATGTCTTCAATTTGCTGCTAATACGACAACGCGTTAACATGGAGATAGCCAAATCGCGTGAAGCGGAGCCGGCACAGAGTGGAGGCTGGTTTAGTGGTTGGTGGGGCGGTGGTTCTAACACCCAACGATCAGCTGCCGAGACCGATGATAATATTGGTAATAGATTGCTCTCAAACGTGTTGCGTTTGATTTGTTAACCAATCTTTTGTTGCAGTGCGCAAATTTGAGGCTGCAATGACGCCGGAGGAGAAGGCCAAGCTGTACAAAGCCATTGGCTATGAGGAGAACGTCAAGCCGCAGGATGTGCCCGAAACCTATGTGGCAATTATCATGAATTTCAAACTGATCGCTCTCGAAGTTGGCCTGTACCAAGAGCTGAACAATGAACGATCGAATGCCAGCATCACCAACGAAATTTCCGGTCTGCCATCAATAATGCTGTTGAGTTTCTCTATGGCCACGGCGGCGATAACCCAACGACCTGCTGCCGAGGCCATTAGCATAACAGCTGGCATGAAATCGCTAAAGATGACGGGTCAAACGCGGGAGGATTACACTCCCATGCTGATCGAATCGATAATCACCGATGAATTCAATTTGCTGGACATATTCTTCGAAACGAATCCCATTGACAAGTTATGCAATCAGCGTGTCAAAGTCGTCGCTCGACCATTGCAAATCGTATACGATGCTGAGACCATACTGAGTCTCCTCAAGATCTTCCAACCGCCGACCGATGTGAATTTATCGAAAATCGAGGAAACGGCTGCCACCAAGCTTGTTGGCATCAAAGAGCGCTCCGCCACCGGCATGCAGTATGTGATTGATCAGAAATCGGTGCTAGATGCCGACATACTGCTAATGCCCAACATTATAGTGGTGCCCCACGGCGGACTCTTTGTCGAGGATATGAAATCGCTGATTGTGATTAGCTTGGGTCAGGTGCATGTGACAACCACGCCGCACCAGCGCTCCACAGATCAGATTCAAACGCTTGTCAGTAAGGGCCAGGAGCACGACGACATATTGAAAACAGTTATGGGGAATGCGTACGATAAGTTCGTTGTCAGCATAAACGATATACAAATGCTGGTGGTCCGTCCACACGAAGAATGGCATCGTGCCCTCAACATGGCCATCTCCACAGATATGCATGTGCTGCGGCCGACATCACTGCGACTAACTGCCGCACTCTGTGTGTTCGATAACGATCCCCGCTTGCCCAAGATTAAGGTGGATATCATGCTGCCAGCAGTGCAGGTGAACATCACCGAGGATCGTGTGCTGGAAGCAATCGGAGTTGTCACCAGCATACCGCTGCCAGAAAGCAACAGCCCTCTCGAAGCACAGCAACCTATTTTGACACGATCACGCAGCTCCATATCGAATTTAATTAATCGCGAACTCAAGAGGCGCACCAACACATCGTCCGCCAGGACGGTGCTCGACGAGGAGCTCATTCAGTACACCAATGTCGAGGTGAACTTCTCGCTCAACCAACTCTCGATTACACTGTACCAGTCGTCGAGCAATATCACCGGGACAGATGCAGCTTCTGGCGCGGAAACGCCGTTCGTAACACCTGAGCAGGAAAATATGTCTATCGCGCAAGAATCATCCACAGCAATGGATAGCAGTGGATTGAATAGTGACGTGCTGCTGAGCGATTTATCTAGAGCCTCCAAGCATATACTCTCCCTGCAGATACTGCAGCTGGAGGCGTACATGGCACAGCGCACCTACGAAACCGTCGCCTCCGTCAAGTGAGTTGCTTTTGGAGTTCATTTTTCTGTTAGCTAAAAGTAATCAATTACTGTCTCTATTCCAGATTGGGCAGCATTAATATTAAAGACACTGAAGGGGAGCATGTGCTGGACATCATTGATACGCCCAGCTATGCCAAGGATTCGAAATATCTGCTGACAGTTAATTATACGCTGGCTGACAAAACATCACCGGAATTCAACACCAAATACAACTCTACCGAGCAGCTGGTGGTGGCCAATTTTGAGATTCTGGACATTGTGCTGCATCAGGAGTGTCTACTGCGTCTGCTGAATACGTCCAACGATTTTCAGCGCCGTCTCGACGTGATATTGAGCAATTTAAAGCCACGCGATCACTATAATTATGCCGGCGACGGAGATGGACTCAAGCATAAGCTGCACGTCATTATGGAGGATGCCGAAACCATAATCAGCAAACCAATTTCACAGAATAACACCAAATTCCAACCTCGGAACACCGTCGTGGAGAGCGTGAAAATGCGAATGGTTGCAAATGTGAATGAGATTAGTCTCAAGCTATCCACAAAGCGTCGACCCCTGGCGTCCATGCACATGAAGGACTTTGTGGCAAATGTTACGCTGAAGAGCTCCTACACCGAGGTGAACGTTTGCCTCAAGGACATTATGGTTAACGATCTAAATACCGAAACAATACACAGTAATGTAAGTATTTAAATATTTTGCTGTCCAGTTTGGAATAATTTAAAAACCGACATTGCAGATTTTAAGCATGGTTGGCCAGGATGCTTTTAATTGCCAGTTGGTGCTCTTCAACAAGGAGTACACACACGACTACAACTCGGATGATATGAAAATAACTGTCGACATTGGCTGCATGAAGATTATATTCCTTAACTGGTTTGTCACCGGAGTTCTCGTACGTTTCACTCTCCAACTGCCAGTCTGCAGTGATTTATATTGTTTCACTATATATATATATATTTCTTTTTTTTTGCAGAACTTCCTGAACAACTTCCAGGCAGCTCAGCAGGCGCTAAGTAATGCCAGTGCAGCTGCCGCTGAATCCGCTCGTCAGGCCACATTGGAGGCATATGAGAAAGCGACACGCATGAAGCTAAATGTGCGCATCAAGGCGCCCATTATAGTTGTGCCTGTGGATTCGCAGAGCAGAAATGCTCTGGCCATTGATTTGGGTTTGCTGGAGATGACAAACAACACCAGTGAGCTGTCAGTGCCAGACAGGGACGAGAAAGCCATCATTGATGAGATCAAGCTGCAGCTAAACGATGTCAAGATCACCAAGGTGACCATTCTAGATGGCAACGAGACGTCTTTCGATGGTGAGCAAGCTGTTCCAATTGGAGTGTTTTGTCACCACGAATACAATTGTATCTTCTTATTATTTGTTGTTTAGAAGTGGATGCGGTCTTTGGAATGAAGTCCACGCTGAATATGATGAATCCGATCAGTTTTACGCTCTCCGTTACACGCAATTTATCGAGCAGTTGGTGTAAGCATGTACCAGAGCTCAATCTGTCGGGTCACCTGAAGTCCGTTGAGGTAATGCGTGGAGTTCCAGTTGTTGTGACAAATTGTAATTTATTGAAATTATGATTGCAGCTAACACTGTTTATGGATGACTATGCACTGGTTATGTCCATCTTGAATCGTAATCTGAGCGAAGGCCAGAAAGAGTTTCCACCGCCACCCGCCGCCCCACAACCCGCAAAGCCTTCACAGCCTGCAGTCTCGGAGCAACGACGCACACGAACCAGTCCCACTACTACAGTTTTGCCGACTGAAAAGATTTACGAGTCGCTCAAGTTTAATGTTCAATTCGATGGCGTCATCATCAATCTCATGGAGGGTAAGTCTTGAACTCCATTAAAGTTAATCATTAAATTCTAATACTAACATTAATTATCATACCAATTAGGCGAGAAAAGCGGTTTGGCTTGCTTTGGCATTTACTTTCTGTCTGTGAAGGGCACCCAGCTGAACAACGGCACCCTGAGCGTTTCCATTGTCCTCTGCAACATTCAATTGGATGACACGCGCCCATCGAATAATAGCAAAATCCGTCAGTATCTCAGCTGCAAAAATTGGGAGGAGCAATCAAAGGATACAGTCCTCGATGCATGTCGCAAGGACACCAACTTTATGGTTGAAGTGACGGCCATTGTAAAACCGAATGATATCTTTGGTAATGTGAATAAGTCGGAAATTGTCGTGATTTATATTGAATATGAATATATATTTTACAAATTTCAGCTGAGGTGCATGTGCGTAGCTTCGATTTGATTGTGTGCATTGATTTTCTGCTTAAGCTGACAATGTTCCTGTCACTGCCCGAAACTGATCCCAAAGAGGTGCCAAAGGTTGCCCCAGTAGTGGAATCAGCTGCACGCGAACCCGGACATTTTACGGATCGTGTTTCAGGTAAGCATTAATTGATTCAGTTGTGTTTCTGTGACGACAACTAATTTAACTTTCACAATTATTGTTGCAGTTCAAGGCGCAGTAGAAACAAATAATAAAATGAATTTGATACTCCACATTGATCAGCCGGACATTATATTGGTTGAAAGTCTGGATGATCTGAATACCAATGCCATTATCTTCAATGTAAGACCTCTTTGCCATTCATCGCTCTGATTGCTCAGCAGTTCTTCAAAATCTATTTATATTTGTTGTTTGTATTTTCAGGCCCAAGCACATCTTAATTATCGCTCGATTGGGGAGAAGCAAATTATCAATGGCGAAATTGATGCGCTGAAGATATTTATGTGTGCCTTTTTGCCCGAGCGTCGCGAATCGACCCGTCACTATATCCTACATCCGTCTGTTATCAGTCTGCAAGGCTCCACGCCCGAGGAGGAGGGCATGCACATCAGCTTGAAACTCAGTGATATTATCATCAATGTGTCGCCGGCCACAATTGAGCTGCTGAACAAGGCATTGATGAGTGTTACTGCCGGTGCTGCTGAGAAAGCGGCCATCGGAAAGGAGCCAGTGGATTATACAAAAATCTGGCATTCAAAATCGTTCAATTCACGCACCTATTGGTTCACCAAAGTGGATACGGCCGTCGATGTGCTTGCTCCGGAACATCCGGTAGTACGCAGTACTAAGACGGAAAAGTGCGTCATTGAGGTGCCAAACATAACAGTTGTCATTGAGTCGGGCGTGGGGTACTACACAAAGCCGCTCATCTCGATGGACACACGCATGACGGCGGTCTTTAACAACTGGAGCGGCAATCTCAGCGCACACGGTTCCCTTACGCTCAACATGGTAGGCTCACCACATTCTCAACACTCTCTCTGAATGTGAATTAAATGGTTTGCTAATATTGATTCTTACAGAACTACTACAATCAATTCCTGGCCGAGTGGGAACCCATCATTGAACTAAACGAGGTGGTCGGCCGCAATGGTGGCAACGAATATATACCCTGGGAGCTGCAGTTCGATCTGGAGCTGGAGAAAGTGCAAAGCGATTTCGATGAACAAGCCGAGGATCAAAAAATGAATATACGCATACATTCCAAGGAGAATCTGGAGATAACCTTGAGCAAAACGTGCGTCAAACTGCTCGGCGAACTGGGCGAGGCCTTCTCGCAGGCCATCGATAGCAAGGGCCTCGCCAAACCAGATGTTGTCGCCCCCTACGTCGTGGAGAACGACACGGGCTTCGACATCACACTGAATCTGCGCAGTGGCATCTTCACGCTCCACGAAGTGCATCGCGGCGGCAGTGCGATCAACAGTTCCATTGTGATGCACTCCCAGCAAGATGAGCAACTGGTCAATCCCGACGACATACAGGACTGCACTATTTCGGCAGGCGGACGCGCCTACCTGCAAACCAAGGATATGAGCACAATCTCAGAGGAACAGGCCGAGGATTACAATCTCTATGTGAAGGTAGTTCATTCCCCTCGCATTTACCATTTCTTCGAGTTTTCGAGTTCTGAAGTGGTGCACATATTTTCAGATAAGTGGCATTAACGATGAGGTCGTCCTGCCCGTCAGCAAGGCTGATACGCGCTACTTCCCGCTAACGCGCATTGCCCAGCAGGAGCAGTGGGCTATTGTATCCGAGGTCAAACAGGAATATGGCACAACCAAAATTAACATTCATGGCGTTCTTAGCGTACGTAACATATAAATTGTATGTTTGATTTGTTCCATCTTCTCTAATTTGCTGTTGTTTCGCTCACAGATTACCAATCATTTCACGACACCCATCCGTGTGCATCGTCGCAGGCTGGCCGATAACAGCGATATACTTGTTGGGTACGCGCAACCTGGTGAAATTTTCCATGTGCCCCTGCACGCCATCTATGCAGAGTGCAAAGATCTCTACTTTTCGCTCAAGGGTTACAATACATCGGTTCAGGGCATCTGCTGGAATACGAGTCCATCCGATTTGAACTATTCACAGCAGCTGCAATGTGATCCAATCGATACATTTGAAGCGCTCTATATCAACATCAGACGTCGCAAGCATGAGATTTACTTTGAGAATAGCAACAAGTATCGGCTGCAGAGCGCCTTCTACACCATTCACCTCCGACCACCGCTCTATCTGCGCAATTCGTTGCCCATTGATATTAAGGTCTCGGTGGCTGGCTGCTCGGGCCATGAAAGCCAGATGGATCCTGAAAAGCGCACGTCACCGGATGGGTTAGGGGTAGAGCGATACCAGAAAGAGGACTTCCTCGACTATGGCGAAAAGGAAGTTAATCCCGGTCATGTGCTGCATCTGCCCACAGTGCGTATGTTCCAAAAAGGCAATGAATCGAGAAGTGTGCTTGTCGTGCGCGTAAGTTGAACAAAAATCCCTATTATTAATCTCAATTTGTAAACTTATACTCTGCGTGCTCTACTCATGTCCAGCTAATACAATATCTGGAGAAGGATTGGTCCTATACCACAGAGATTTCCGATGGCGATAGCGAAGTTTCCATCTGGAAGTTTTCCTCATATGATTCTGAAATAAAAATGGACATGGATCTTTATGTGCGGTAAGATTCAGTTTTGTTCTGAAAAATAATTAGACGAGATTAATTGGAAAATCTTATATTAAACTCTGACAATTCCGATTTGAATTCACAGGACCGATAATCGCTATGGCAGCACTATGCTGACGCTCTTCAGCCCCTTCTGGATGATTAACAAGACGGGTCTGATGCTCACCTACAAAACGGATATGTCATCCGTAGAGGTGCTATATCATCCGCCCGAGTACTCCGGCCCCATACTGTTCACCTTCCGCGACAAAATGTTCTTCGACAAGAAGAAGGCCTCCATTCGCGTCGACAGTGGCGAGTGGAGCGAGAAGATCCCACTCGATGTGGCCGGTTCGATTGGTGCCGTCACCTGCAATTCGAACGATCAGAGCTATCAGATTGGCGTGCACAATCATTTGACGCAGAATTCGCTGACCAAACAGATCACATTCATACCCTTCTACATAGTGCATAACAAGTGTAACTTCAAGATCGAACTGCAGGAGCAGAATCGTCCTGGTGATCACTGGCTAGCACTCGAGCCGCAGGAGTACCAACCACTCTGGCCCAAAAACGATTCCGCACACAAACTGATCGTGCGTGTGGAGAACAAAATAACGCCGGCATTTGATTACACGGAGGTTACGTGTACACTGCTAAAGCTGGACGACATTCGTTACGGCGGCGTCAATGTGGAAGTGCAGACCACTGAGGGCGGCGTTTATATCATCTTCACCGAGTACCAGCCATCGGCAGCGCCTGGACTGTTAATCAATCACACCAGCAGGGACATTGTCTACTACGAGAAGAACACGAAAATCGAGCATGTTTTGAAGCCCAAGCATAGCATTCTCTATGCCTGGTGCGATCCAACGGGTCCAAAGCTTTTGGTCTTCGGCAAGAATAAGCAGGAAACCGATCTGAAACGCGATCAGATCGATAATCTTATGTGAGTCTTAAGTGAATATTGCAGATAATTGTTAATGTTAATGATAATTGATTTGTACAGCTTGGATAATGGCAGCACAGCCTACTGGGTATCCTTCCTGGATGGTCCACAGCGTGTGCTGCTCTTCACCGAAATCAAATCGATTGCCGAGCGCACAGAGAGCACTGCCGGGCTGCAGACGATCACTCGTAGCATTGATCTGCATATACATGGCATCGGTATCTCTGTGGTAAACAATGAGACGGCCCTAGATATACTCTATGTGGGCATCACCAGTTCGGGCGTTATATGGGAGGGGCGTAAGCCGACCAAGAAGCGCTTCAAGGAAATGACTATACAGGACTCGGAGCTCCTTGAGGCTGAATATCAACGCTATCTTGCACACAAAGCGATCAAAGATGTGCAAACCTATACTCTGAATAACAAATATCCGGTAAGTGCATAGCGATTCTTTGATTTATTTATATATATAAATATACATTCATTTTTTATTAATTGCTTGCAGATAAACTTTGATACAATGACGCTGACAAAGAATGTGGATCGACGTATACAGCGTAGCTTCAATCCGGCTATTTGGGTGTCGATGAATTCATCACCGTTCCAAAATCAACTGCATGTGAAAATTAATCGTATACAGGTGGACAATCAATGCCCCGATCCCATATTCCCCGTTGTATTGGCCCCAATAGCACCGCCGAAGAGCGTGGCCAGTTCCACAACGCTGAAGCCCTTCATCGAATGCAGCATGGTGCAGCGCGTCATGCCCAATTCGGATGTGAAGCAGTATAAGTATGCGACAATACTGATACAGGAGTTCCACTTTAAGGTGGACATACTGTTCCTAACCGCCATTGCGGAGATGTTCGCCAATGAAGTGGACGATGAACAGGCGGCCAAATTGTTCCGCGGCGATGTGGAGTCCATTCAACTGCCTCTGTCCGCTTTCTTCGAGCAGCACTCGCAACAGGAGCAAAAGAATTTCTATGATAAACTGCATTTGGGCCCACTGAAGATACATGTTAGCTTCTCGATGGCAGGATCCGATACGACAGCGCTGCCTGGCTTCCTTGGTTCCCTTGTCCAAGGCGTTGGCGTTACGCTAACCGATGTTAACGATGTCGTCTTTCGTTTGGCCTTCTTCGAGCGCGAGTATCAGTTCTTTACTCAGCAGCAGCTCATCAATGAGGTCCAATCACACTACACGGGCCAGGCGCTCAAGCAGCTATATGTGCTAGCTTTGGGTCTCGATGTGCTCGGCAATCCGTATGGCCTGGTGGTGGGCCTTAAGAAGGGCGTCGAGGATTTGTTCTACGAACCATTCCAGGTAAGTTGTCAGTCAAAACAGCCACTCTTCCTGCATTATAAACTGTATTATTTGTTGCTTAACACAGGGCGCCATTCAAGGACCTGGCGAATTTGCTGAGGGTCTCGTGCTCGGCGTCAAGTCGCTCTTTGGCCACACTGTGGGCGGCGCTGCTGGCGCCATGTCCAAGTAAGTTTTTTTTGAACTCTTGGAAATGAAAGCAAGCTGAATTAAATTGTCATTGTTTCTTTCATTAGAATCACTGGCGCCATGGGCAAGGGCCTGGCTGCTTTGACCTTTGACGATGATTATCAGCGAAAGCGCCGCCAGGGCATTCACAACAAGCCAAAGAACTTCCACGAAGGTATCGCGCGCAGTGGCAAGGGTCTGGTCATGGTAAGTACAGCAGTGGGCTGCTTCTAATCCAACATCGCTTAGTACCCAGTATTCATACTCAACATTTACGCAGGGCTTTGTGGATGGCGTCACGGGCGTTGTTACCAAGCCCGTGAGTGGCGCTCGCGAGGAGGGCTTTGAGGGCTTTTTCAAGGGTCTGGGCAAGGGCGCCATTGGTCTGGTGGCACGCCCCACTGCCGGTGTTGTCGACTTTGCCAGCGGCAGCTTTGAGGCTGTCAAACGTGCCACCGAAGGCAGCGAAGATGAGAAACGATTACGTCCGCCACGCTTCCAGCATTACGACAATGTGCTGCGACCCTATTGCCAAAGCGAGGCCCTCGGCAACAAGATGCTAAAGTAGGTGTCCAAAAACAAATACTCCACTGCACATACTTACTTATTAAATAGCTTATATATATATATTACTAACAACACATAAACTACAAGGCATTGTTTAATATTTTGATTTTCGCGATGTCTATTTAACGATCCACCAGTTAGAAGTTGAGCACTATTGGCAACACTGCTGACCAGTGAGTCCACAAATTGAAATATCACATTTTTACCATGCGTGAAAGTCTTAAGTTTGTTCGCCTAGCGGCCCCTATGTTTCAATTTTATATGTTTTTAGTATTATTATTTACTGGCTTACATAACATCAAAAGAAGACAGCTGTCGCCAATCAGCTGCTGGCCTTTTACATATCGATAAACCTTTAATGTTATCAGTTGGGCGCTATCCGCTTGTTTGAAATTTACAACTGTGATAAGGGGAAAAAACTTAACCCACAATATCCACGTATAATATGATTAATAATTACTTTTTGCTTTTGCAGGGAGCTGGACAAGGGTAAATTTGCGAGCACCGACAGCTTTTTACATTGCGAGGAGATTGTGCAAAAGGCAGAGTATCTGATAGTCACCAATCACCGCCTACTCTACGCACAGCGCAACGATATGTTTGGCATTTGGGTGGTAAGTGGCTTAATTTGCCTCATTGCATCAGCGCAAACTCTTCTTCAATTAAATGTGTCTTATTTTTGTTTTTTAGTCCATGTGGTCCTATCAATGGGATGAGATTCATAATATTGCCGCCACGGCGCGTGGCGTGCAATTTATGGTAAAACGCCCCGAGGGCAAACGTGTCCTGGGCCTATTCTCCTCAAAAGAATCACCATGCAAGTTGGTGGTACTGGCCGATGAGCGTAAACGCAATGCACTCGTGGAAATAATGGAATCTCAACGGAAGGATAGTTCCATATGCCGTTTACCCGGTTTACGTTACTCATAAATGAATCTGTAGACAATAAGTGTATAATATTAATAATCCCCTATATCATAATCGCAGTGCTTACGCAACGCTTACACAACAGCATGGCAAAAACTACCTCGCTCGTAATCAATCTCTCAAGCGTTTCAAGCATACACACACTACACACAGACAACTCTCACACCCCACCCCACTCATGTATATTATTAACAAACTATGTTTTGATATTAAAAATTTTATGTCAATGTTGAGGATAAACATGAAAAAAATGTGTGTGCGAATTTGTCACTAGCCTAAAAACTATGCATATATGTATAGGTATATAGGTTAAATAGAGATAGTGAGATAGTGGGAGAGACAGAGAGAGAGAGAGAGAGAAATAGCAGCTCTACACCTTTTTGAGAAAGCTGGTCGGCGGAGTTGCAAGTGGCATGATGGGCTCATAGTTGTTGCAATTGTCGCTCTCACAGAAGGAGGTGAGCGAGGCGAGTGCATTGGCGGCCAATGCCTCCACGCTGAACATGGTGGATAGATGGCCGCTGCTCTCAAACTGATTGATAATCATGTTCACTTTGCTCTTGTTGGAGTCGCCACCCTTCAGGCACGGCGATGTGGGATTACTGCTCGGCTGTTGTTCGTTCAGCGTCGGATCGTAGTTGCCATCGCAGAGATCGAGTCCATTGAGCAGATTCTCTTTTTCGCTCTGTTTGCACTTTGCATTGGTTGGCGTGCCTGTCGCATTGCCGCTGCTAATAATGCTGCTGTTGCCGCTAATGCTGCTGCTGGTCCCGCTGCCGCTGCCGCTGCCAGTTGAACGTGTGCTCTGACCGGTGCTGGATTTGTTGAGGCGACTGAGAAACCAATTGCGTGCCAGCTTATCACAATCTTTGCTGGGCGTCTTCTGTGGACTCGTTTGCGGTGTTTGCGATTTGCGCTGTTTCTTCTGCTCTTTGAGTGTGGCTGGAGCTGGCGGCGAATTGGTAAGTGAGAGCATTTCCGGTTCACTGTTGCCGCACGAGTAGCTCTTCTTCACGGCCTTCTTCAGGCGCTCCGGACTCGTCAGCTGACTAGAGAGCTCACTGTGCACCGTCTTCACTTTGGCCTGAAAGTCAAGCGTTAGGTGGCCGTGCAAACTGGATGCTTGCGGCTGTGGCTTCAGCTCAACAATAGTAGCAGCAGCAGCACCACCACCACTACTACCAACACCATTGAGCAGCTCAGCAGTTTCCACATCGCCAGGGCTGGGCTCATCCTCGGCGGATAGCGGCTGTGGTGGACACTTTGGTATATCATATTCGAAACGTCTGGCCAGCGCACTCGGACTGTTGGCTTTGTCGGGCAGGCGTGGTGGCGTCACAGCCTCCCCAAAGTTGTAGATGGGTGAGGGCTCCTCGTAGATGCTATCGCAATTTGTTGGCGTTGGCAAATAGCTGCACTTCCTCACCGTCGGCGGCGTGGGCAGTTTGCGTAGCGTTTTCAACGTTGCCTGCGCAATGGCATCGCCGCGTATGGCCGCCTCAATGGCATGGATCCACTCTTTGGCATCGACCTCATTGTTTGCCTGATACACGAACTTCTTGCCCGGATCGGCGGTGGTGATTTGAAAGCAAATCTCACGACGTTTACCCTCGCCAAAGTGCTCGATCTCAATTGCCGAGCTCTTCAGATAGAGACTGCTGCTCGGCCGACAGGAGGTGGGACCATCCGCATAGCAGAGCATCCAATCGTTCAGTATGCCGCAATAGCATTTCTTGCTCTGATCGAAAAACAAACGCTTTTCGATGCGCTGCAACTGGCCGTATTTGGTGGAACGCTGCAGCGCCAAATGACCAGCCGGCAGATCAGCATAGGGGCAATTGATAAACAGCTCGTGTGCGAAAACCTGCTGCGTCTCATCCTCCGCTTGATGCTGGCAAATGTCATAGAGCTGCTGCTCGGACTCGGGCAGCTCCACTGGCTCTGGCTGTTGCGGGGCTTTATCAACATTCAGCGCTGGATTGCTGCTCAGATCGATATACTCCCGCGAGGCGGACACTGCAATTAAAGACAATTACTACATGCCTCTCTAAATAACCAGCATACATAAATACAAATATGCATGTATGCATGTATTGGCCAGGCTCTGGCGACTCACGCGAGTTCCTCGACGACGAAGATGTCGCTGCTGACGAGGACAGCATCTCCAGATAGCAACCGGTCTCGGCGCCCACTTTGCTATCGAAGCAGTCGCTGCTGCTGCTGCTGTTGTTGCTTTTGATGCAGCCATTCAATTTAATGACTGCAACTTGGCCAACACTATCTGTTGTTGCTGCTGCTGCTGCTGTTGCTGTTGCTACAGCGGCTGCTGTTCCAGTTGCTGCTGCTGTTGTTTTTGCCGCCTTATCGTCTGCATAGCCAGCCAGCAGCAGATCGCAACGCTCGAGAAGCGCCTGTGTTTGCTCGGCGGCGGTGACGTGAAACAGATTCGAAGTGTTCTCATACTCCGATGTCGTCAGCGATTCTCGAAAATGCGCACGCACATCTACAAATAGAGGAGGAGCAAGCAATACAAGTCATATAGTACACGGCCAAAAATTTCTAACTTCAAATAAGTAAAAAACAGAAGTAATATTTTAGAAATTCAAATACTATTTAAATTTTAATTTATAAGAGATATGAAAAACGTATCAAGTGCAAAAGTCTAATAAAACTAATAAGAAAAACGTCAACTTATAAATTCGAACAATTCTAAAACTCAGCCAAAAACATCAGTTATTCAAGTAGAATTAAGAACAAGTGCGAAGTAAAATATGAGAGTAGAACCAAACCTATTTTATGTGCAATAATTTAAGTGGCATGCTTAAGGTAAGGCTTAATAAATACTACATTTAATAATTACAGGATTGTTTCTGGTTTCTATAATTATTAATTAATTGGTTCTTTTCAGTGTAAGTTTAAGCAGCAATTCTAATGTGCACTTATGGCTAAATATGGAGAACAGCAGCGTTGTTTAAGTCTATTGCCCATTAATTTTGAAACGCCTCATTGGACTTAATGGCTCCAGGCTATGCTGTCTGTTGAGCAATTTCCATAACTGCCCCGAGGGCGAGAGAAAGAGAGGCATATAGGCAGAGTGAGATAGAGAGAGAGAGAGATAGAGATGAATAATGAGGAGTGGGCAATTGGCTGACACTGTGCTCTGTTTCTCTGTTTTCTGTCTTCACTGGACTCGGATGAGTCATTGGACTGTCATTTTAGTTAGTATGCCAGTCAGGCAGCCAGCCACCGAACTACTTATGACCTCATAAAAAGAACTCGCAAGAGTCAACTGCAAATTGACCGCAGCAATTAAAAGCAATTTCACTGAGCAGCAAAACAGTCCAGTTTTCAGTTGGCCCCAGCCACTGCCACTGCCACTGCCACAGACCCTCTCTCCGTCTTCCGGCTGTTTTAGTAGATTTAACTGTAAATACGAACAAGCACAAACACAAACACAAACGCAATAAAAATGTAAGGCATTACAAAAGTAAAGCCACAGAAATTTGCAAGAAATCTTGTTAAAATTTCAACACGCAGAGCGCTTTCCAGACAATTATTTGACCACTACGTAATTAGTACAAGAAACTGGAGAAACACAACTGCAACGAACTCGAAATACTCTTTGGCACACTATCAATAAATATGTATATTTATTAATTACTACTCCACAACTTCCACCAACACATTTTTAAAAATGTTGCCGAAATAAAATTTTATTTTGAAAAGGAAAAACTAAATTTAGACAAGCAAAAGTGGCTAACCTAGATGAAAACTTATTAAATATATCTCCAATTTAATAGCAAAAACAAATTGTATATAATTAAATAATAAATCGATATCTTAACTGAATGAAAACAAATTGTTTGCCTCAAGAGTAATACTCTTTCGACTGATTGAAAGCTTCAATGCCGACGTTTTAAGAGAAGGGGTTAAGACAAGCGTTTTGGCCATATTTTGGCGGCATGTCCAATCGTCTATACTATATGCGCCAAGAAAATAAAAATAAAAATAAAAACAAAACACATGTAGCAACGTTGGCCAAAACAAAAACAAAGAGACGAAAACCTGAAAAATGGATTCAATAAAATGTACACCATATAACATATACCATATACACGAGAATGAGAAGAACAAAGCGCATTAAAGTCAGCCAAGTTAACTTGGCGGTTTCAGGCACGGCTTGAACCTTAGCTTCAGCTTCAGCTTCAGATCGCATGAGTCAATAATATATTGTGTCTGTGGTTATTAATGTTGCTGTACAAGGGAAAATTATACACCCGCAGGCCAACCAGGCACCATGAATTTATACAAGTAGTTTGTTTGTAAATATATATATATATATATATATATGTATATATATATATGTATATATATATATGTATATATGTTTTTCTTTTTTAATAATGATTGTGCTAACAGTTGCTCAATCTGCAGGTTAAGTGAACAATGCCTTTTAAATTATCTAAATACATACTCACAGATGCGTAGCTACTTTAATTTCTGTTTTGGCTGCGAACTTAATTGTTTAATGCTGTTGGTTTTGCTTTTTATTCATTTACCCAGTAAATTATTAAGTGTGTATAAAAAAGACGAAACCATAAATAAGAATTAACATACTTTTAGTTTCTTAAGTAAACGAGCATTCTTCAAACGAATATAAACTCTTGTTTTATTCATCAAACTGTTTTAAATTCTTCATAAATTTACTCAACTTCTGAGCTCACACATTTTCAAGATTCATAATTGAATTATTATTTCAAGTGAGCCATATCTTGTCCCTAATAATGAACTCATTTATTACGCATATTTCAATTGCACATTTTTCAGTTTTTTTCTTTCCAGGAAAATATGTCCATTTATTGTGAATTTAAATGAATCATTCCTCATACCGACCACAACTGAGTAATTTATCTCTTGAGTTCAGTTTACAGGGTATCTAAGGGCGGAGCACTGTTGCTAAGTAACACTTGTTAATAATTACAATATAGTTTATTTTTTTGTGTAGTTGCTGTTAACTTACCCAATAGAAATTGTTCAATTTCGGAGCGTTTAGGCACCTTAATGTCCATATCCATGTTAAAAAGCGTTAATTTGAAGCTTTCAGTGCTAGTGTTTATTTATATGGCTTTTTGTAGATCGCTTTGCTTTTCGATTTATTTGCTATTTGCGATTATTGTATTTTGTTTTTGTTGCTGCTGACATGATTTAGTCGCACACAATGTTATTGCTGGCAATTAGCAGCTGAGTGTCAAAATAAAGTAGCACATTCTATAATAATATCACATGCACTTCGCTGCTGACTATAAATGCAGTAAATAAAACTTAGCCGTAATATTATAAACCATTTGTGGCACATTATACACTCGTTACAATTGGTCAACGACAAGGCAACAATGTGGAAAAAATACAACTACTTTCTGCTAAAGACACCCGAAGAAAATGGAAAACATTTCTCTCCCACAGAGCGAGCCGAAAACGAAACCAGACCGAAATCAATCCGCGCCATGGTCTGTTTAAAGTAGTGATTATTAATAGATGAATTTGAGTTGGTGTTGCTGCCGCCGCTGTTGTTATTAGAACTGTAGATACGCAGTCGAAATACAATACTAAATTCGTATTGTGCTCAATTCTGGCTTCAAATCAATACCTCGTTCATAAGCAGTGGCGATTATGGGGGATCTACACACACAAATTGTATATGCTTTATGTAAGATTCATTCATTGCTCAAGACAATGGAAGCGCTTCTTACCATATGTGGTTTACTGTATCTATGCCTACTGATTTTTAAACAAACATTTGAATATCCAGCACATGAGGTTCAATGACTTTAACAATTATTGATGAAAACTAAGTACTAAGTACTTCCTCAGTAAAACATAAATCGGAAATCAATCGGTTGTATAACTTTTGCTTTTATGGACACAATTGAAAGTCTATTTTAAAAATAATATCGAGAAATAATTCAGAACAATAAAGAACAAAGCATAGAATTTCAATTATTAACTTCGAAATTAGTTTCTGATATTTGAATTACATTTAATCAGTGTAAAAAATGAAAAAAGATGAGCAACTTTGTAATAAGAGTAACAAATATTTCAAGCTAATGACTGAGGTTGGTTTAGACTGAAAGTCCCTACTTGAGGAAAGCCGGAAATGCCAAAGGCCAATCTGATAACTGCTATCATTATAAACTATATTAAATTTTAAGCATTTCTTAAATTTTTTCATATCATATTTCATATTTCATATCGTTGCCAGAGCGTTCTTTAGTGGATATCTGTTGGCTGCAAATGCTCGCTTGCAGCATGCTGAAATTTTTGAATTTTATTTTGTCTGTTTTGTTGTTGTTGTTGCCGCTGCTATTGCTGTTTATTTGGTTGCACGCTTCGTTTGGCGCTCATGGAAAATCGGCGGCGTCGTTGATGACGTTATGCTTGTTGTTGCTTTTGCTGTTACTGTTCATCATTCGCTATATACGATTTAACATGTATTATTTATGTACTACTCTCTTGCAGTTAACATACACAGGTACATGTGTATGCAACAAGTGTGTGTGTATGTATGTGTGTGTGTGTGTGTATGTATAAGCTATGTACACTTATGCACTTATGTATGTGTCATTAAGTGTGATTACGAAATGGCTTTGGAGCCGATTTTCATAATGCGATACTTAGTTTATGCAGCGCCCGCTTTGCACTTGTCTGGCTCTGGGGCCTGTTTTGGGGTTGCAGAAAATCTCTCTATAGATATATGTATATATAATATAGATATATATATATATATATATACAAATAAATGTGTTTGTTTGCTTATGTGCGGCAGCCTCTAAGCTTGTCTGTCTGTTTGTCAGTTCTGTCGCATTTGCGGTTTATTTGTTTGCCTCGTTTTTTTTTGTGTGGTTAAAAAACACACACTCAAACACACACACACACACACACACACCCACACCTATATGGAAGTTGGGGCTAGTGACTGCTGCTAAGCAAGCCCTAGCAATGTTTTTGGAGCTGGAGCTGGAGCTGGAGCTGGCCTCTTGCCAAGCCTTTTTGATTGTGAGTCATCCGGCAAAAGGCGACGCGTGTCATTGGCCATAAAAAACTGCGGCTCATGCAAATCAAATGGTAAAGAAATATAAAAATGAAAATCACTACGCTTTGGGGGCAGCTTAACAAAGAGAAAGAGAGACAGAGAGGGAAGTTGGCTTATAGAACTTTTACTTTTTATCGCTGGCACATAAAAAGAAAAAGAGTGCAAAACGAGAAATGTAATTCGCATCGCTGGCGACGTTAAATGTGTTTCTTTTTTTTCTATAAAAAAAAATAATAAAAAATAAAATAAACAATATCTATTCACAATTAGCACATATCAAATTTCTGTTTATTGCACTTGGCCAGTTCTGTGTTAAAGATATTTTAAGTGAACATATGTTGTGCAGCTTTGTTATCGCTTTGCACAGCATTTTCATTCGATTTTGAACGGTGTATTTCCAAAGCGCAGGCGTGTCTGTCTGTCTGTCTGTCTCTCAGTCTGCCCGTCTGTCTGCATTTTCTATCTGTGTGCATTTCCGGTCATTTTCAAACACAACGATTTCCTGCGACGCAGCGAGTCTCGAAACTTAAACATTCGATTCAATTGAATTCTTTTTTTGTATGTTATTTTTTTTATTTATGCTTTTAATTTTGCATCCGGTTTTTCACCTCTTTCTTTGCCACTTTGTGTGTGTGTTTGCCTTTGTTTTTACTCATACACTTTGCGTTCGTTGCTGTTGCTATTATTGTTGTTGTTGTTTGCGTTGACGTTGACACCTTTTCTGCTTAAGCTTAACGACAGCTTTTCAGTTACTGCGCTCTCCTCTAAAGAACCAATGCGAACGCAGACGCAGACGCTTTTCATTGCGAATACGAAGCCGAAGAGAGCTACCGAGCTACTGAGAGCGAGAGAGAGGGAGAGAGAGTACGCGCGCACTGAGCGATTTTTTTTAAGCGCGACTTTATGTGCGCGACCGTGAATCACACGAACGCAACTGACAAGGCAGCAATGGTCTCAGCCAGAGACTAGAACAGCCGCAGCCGCTGTCTGTTGGCTTCCCATGTTCGTGGGGGAGCCGAAGCCGAAGTCGAAGCCGAGCACGCATGCACGAAGGCAGGCGCAGACAGGCAAATGAAGACACGAAGCAGTTGGCTTTCTTTGCAGAACGTTAATTTGTTTTTGGGGAAACAACATTGCATAAAACCGAAAATGCGAAATACGAAAATGTAAATTTAAAATGCAAGCTTTTGGCAATACAATTTGTGGCAGTCGTTAGACGTCTTTGCCAATTTGGGTTAAAACAGGCTCGCCAACTCGCAATAAGCCAAAACCAAAACAGAAACCAGAAATCTTCTAATCTGCGCAGCACTCAGTCAGCAAGAAAGTTGCCGGCAGCAGAAGAGAGACACACAGCAACAACACAATAGTGGCAGATGTTGCTGCAACTTAGAAATCCGAGCCTTGTTTAAAACTCAATTCCTCAGGCGATGTCTGTCCAGCTCCTGTCTCCCTCCACAGACACATAAGCAACTGTTGCGTGTGCTCTTTTTTTTTAGCTGTAGATAAGCTAACACACACACACATACACACATACACACATACACACATACACACATACACACACATACATATAAACGAGCGTAATTTAGGTGAGAGGAGAACGACTAAAAGATAACCTGTACGCAGCATTGTCTATTAAATATCAAACGCCCTTTTGCTGCCTGCTGCATAAATTTGTATGCACTCAACATAACAATTTATCATAAATACAGGGTATAAAGGTAGAGAGTCAGTTTGCTTTTTTTTTTTGGGTTGAAGGACGTGCTGGCTGGTTGCACAGCAAACAGCTCAATTTTAATTGAATGTTGCGCTACGCTGAAATAAATTAAGAATTCAGTTCACTGTGCACAGTGCACAGTGGAACCTTGGTAACCTTGAGCTTGGAGCTGGAGCTGAAGCTCCAGCGTGATAACTAAACACTCAGCCATTGCGTGACTACCTCTGCGTGCACTGGGCAAAAAGAGAAAAAACCAACGGGGCCAACAGGTTCGCGCAGCGTGCGTTTTTATCAGGCAAGAGCAAAAGCGGAGCATATTTTTAGCACGTTTGCCACAATGATCAATGATGCTGATTCATGGGCCGCCAAATGGCTGCTTTGTGTGGAGGTCTTTGTGCTTTGCTTAATTATGGTGCAAGAACAACAAGTCATTTAATTTAAGTTAAACAAACAAATGTTACTTTATTATTTTTACTTGAGAAACGCTTGCAGGCGATTCTGTGCCGTTTTGCTGGCGTTTTTCGACGCGTGCGTTTTCAGCTGAGCTGCCAGCTGAAGCAGCGCGTTTTGCTTTTGTGTTTTCGATTGCATTTTTTTGCTGGATGCGGTTGCCTTGCTGCTCGCAGCGGGCGTTGGCGTCGCTGCTTTCGATTTCTGCTTCTTTTGTTTGTTGCTTTGTGTTTGCGACGTCTTTGTTGTTGTTGCTGTATTTTTTGTGGGCGCTGTCGGCGCTTTTTTACTTTGTTGTTCTTGTTGTTGTAGTTTGAGCCCAGCATTGATGTCTTTATTTTTATTCTTTTTTTTGCGCTTGCTCGTCGCTGGCGCTGCTTTAGCTATTGTTATTGTTGTTGTATGTGCTGCTGCCATTGTTTTTTGTGTGCTATCGTTTTTGGCGCGTATTTTAGGCTTTTCCAACGGCAACATTGTTTTATGCCCGCAAAACTCACAGTTCAGTGCCTATAAAAACAACACAAATAGATAAATAAAACAAAAAATAATAAAAATCTGTCTATAAGCCGCTTACCATATTGCTGACCATGCGCTTCTTCAGCCATTTGGCCCGTTTGCGCGCCCCCCTGCTCAGTGTGCCCCTCTCCTCACGCTTGGCATTGGCCGCATCCAGTTGGGCGATCTGCCGACGCCTCTTCGCATTGTTCGCCAGGCGCTGGGGTCGCAGCTGGAGTCGATAGTTGCCGTCGCACCACTGATTGCCGCAACGGGCGCACATGCGAGCCGGGCCAACGATCTCCTCGGGCAGTTGAACATTGTGCCTGGCCACCTTGCGACACGTATTTCTAAACAATGCACAGAGGATTATATAAAAAAAACAATACTCATTGTGTTATTCTGTTATTCTCACATGTAGTAGGATTTTAGCAGGCGTTCGGCGTGTGTTTGAGTGGTCAGCTCTTTGGCGCAGTTCCACAGCAGATTTACTGTCTTCTCTTCAGACATTATAATCGAGGACCTCTGAAAATAATAAATACTCCTTTAGCTATTTATGACACACATTGAAAATAAAACTGACAGCACTATTAAAAGCTAACGTTGAACATAACACATAAGCAACATCTAAGTCATGTTTACATACTTCCTTAGCCCAATTAGCTCTTTGCTGTTTACTTTTATTATTATTCAGTTTTTATTTGAATTGCACATTCTTTTGATGCCCTCACATTGACGGCTGTTTGTTTTGGTGCTGCCAGATTGGTGATGCCACCTGAAAATTATCGGATGTAGCTGGTTTAAATGTATCGATAGTTCCTAATAATGTTGGCGCTGTTAATTATTACTGTTAAATTTAAAATTGAATCTCTGTTAAAAGTTTGCTCACAGACTAGAAGCCAGATGGTGACACTCTTAAATACTTGCACAGTTATTCAAACGAGATAATAATTTTTTAATAATATTTCAGCACACACTGTTAATAACAATTCAGCAAAATGTTAAGTTATACAAATGTTAACATAAACTGATCGATAACTGCTGACTTTGTGCGCTATGGCAACTCTATCGATGGTAGAGGCATACCGACGCTTGCCCATTTAAAATTTCAACGTCGCGAACAAGCGAGAAAAAGAAGCGACGCGCTTTATTTCGAATGACGAGCATTAATGCAAAAAAAAAATAAGAAATCGTTTATAAAGTGAATACAACTAAATAGTAGCCAACTAAAACAAATATTAAACACAAGTGCAAGTGTTACAAAATATAAATATAAGCAGTGTGCGCGCAATTTGCATTTTTCACAAGCATTTGCAACAACAACAAAAACAACAATGGACCCCTTCACTCAGGTACAAGATTACTAAGAAAAAGCAAACTGAAAATGCATTGTCTAACTGCAATTTGCGAATACAATCTATAATTTTGTGTAATTTGTAATTTGTTGCAGCGCATGCTCGAAAAGGCCGAACAGCGCAGTCGCGCCCTCGGCATAACCAATGCCAGCAAATTTCCACTAGCCGAATGCACTCTGGCGACGCCAGCAGCAGCAACAGCAGCAGCTGAGACAACGTCAGCCGTCGTCAGCAAAGCGACAACAGCGTCAGCATCTGCATCTGCATCGACGCCTGCTACAAGCAACAGCAGCAACTCTGGAAAAATTGTTATCCTCGAGAAGGCAACGCTGGAGGCATCGCCCACAAAGCCGCTGCGTCATTATGCCGCCGTCAACAAGGAGAACATGGAAATGGGCATCGAGATAAATATTACCACCGCACAGCCAATTGGGGTAAGTTTTCGCCCGCTTCTTCTTACTTCCCTTTTTTATGCATGACGCTTTGTTTTTGCATTTGTATTTTCCGCTTTTTACTTTTGCTGCTTTTTTGTGGTGTTTTTATACGCTTGCTGCGGGTAGATGCATTTTCTTATGAAATGTGTAAAGAAAAAAAAAAAATATATATATATATATAACTACAAATAATTCGACTTTATTTAATCAACAAATTTCCTAGCTTAATAAATATACAAAATAATTATTACTTTTAAAATATATTATTAAAAATATGACTGAAATGTCTAATTATCAGACTACTATATAACACAGCTCCCATAACAATGTACTTCGATTAAACACCAAAAAGCCGTCAAATGCAAGGGTATTTAAACGTTGACTAATCTTTCGTTTATCTATTTTGTTTCATTTTCTTTTGCATTCTTGTCTGTCTTCATTTTTGTTGTTTCTGCTTCGCTTGTGCTAACATTTTTTTGTTGCTTAGGTGCAAGTTGAGATTCAGGAGCAGGATATGACCAGTGACGAGGATGGGGAAGGGGACGAGGAGCAAACAGCTCTAATTTCAAGTGCTGCAACGGCGCCGGTCAATCAGCCCCTGGCTCGACTACGGGATACCTCTCGCAATCGACTGCAGCGCATGGGCGCACTCTATTCGAATGCGGATGATCTGTCCTCGCCAATACATCGCACCGAGGCGCAGTTCCATGCCGGCGATGATGATGAAAACGAAAACCGGCGCAGTCCGCGTCGGGGTAAACAGCGGCTGGGCAAGCTGGCTGCACTGGCGGACACGATAAATCAGTGGGAGGATGACGTGTCGCATCATGAGATCCATCGACCGCTGCTGGATGCAGTGCCGCCGCCGAAACCGGATTTGCCCAGTCGCGACAAGGCCGCCAAAGCCAAAGCCAGGGCGCCTCCACCACCTACATGTGATGCGGTGGATGAGGGCAGCAAAACCAAACAATTGAAATGGGATGCCAAGGTGTTGAGCTCTTTAGAGGCTCAGGGTTTCCAGCGACGCGAATCGTCCACAATTAAGCATACCTATGACTATGCCAAGCCGGAAGAAACGGCTGCTGCGGCGGCTGCGACGACAGCTCCAAAGCCGCCTTTGCCACAGAAATCGACGACGGTCAGCCAAGTGGCCAAAACATTTGCAAAGGCGACTGCAGCAGCACCGCCCGCACCCGCTCCCGCCAAAGCCGCTCCAGCGCCTGCAGCAACTGTCAAAGCGGGTTTGGTCTCTGGCCGTGCTGCAATCTTCGAAAAGGCCAGCGGTGGCGTCCTGTCGCAGGCGGCACTGCGTAATCAAAAAGATCCCTGCGAGCTGTCGCTGAAGGAGCGCATGAAACTCTTCGAGACGGGCAACTCCAAGGCTATGCTGCCCAAGGCGCCCATTGGCACAGCGCCCAGCATCAGTCAGATACGCGCAGACGAACCAAAAGGTAATCCGTAGCTCTAAGCACTCGCAGTCAATACTAACACTCTGTCCTCATGCAGCACACTCGGTGGCCGTGCATCCGGTAACAGCAGCCGCTCAACCACCGTCCAAGCCGCAACCGAAGCCAGAGAGCAAGCTGCGCGACAAGGTGGCCGCCTTGGTGGCCTCGGCTCAGACCAGTGCCGAGAATCGCATCAAAGACATTGATCGTCAGCGGCAAGAGGACATGCAAATTATCGCGAATCGCTTTAACAAGCAAAAGGAAATCATTTCGACAGCAGTAGCAGCATCAGCAACTACAACTCCCGCTGCTGCGGATGCTGCTCCTGGCAAAGTGGTGCGTCCGATGCCGCCGCCACCACCTCCACCCATGGCAAATGCCAGCAGCAAGCGGCGTTCACGTAAGACTCGACGGAACATAAACTAGCCGCAAACTCTTCAATTTCACTCTTTGCATTCACAGCTGGCGATGCTGTCATTGACGAGGAATCGAAGCGGGCACGCAAAGCGAATGCGGATCGCTTGTATCCCGCCTTATCGGATCTTGACTCCAGCGGTGACAATTGCTGTGCAACGGCAACGGCCTCGATCAATGATGAGACCGAGGAGGATGAGGAGGAGGAGATTGACAGGTGCGCCGACAAATGCTACTCCTGCCTGCTATTCCTGCTCTGCATTGAGTAGCAGCCCAATTTACCAATTTAGAGACTGACCCATTTTAGAGTAGACACTAGACACTCATAGCTTTAACAAATCATAAATAAATATATACATATATACACAACTAATCGCTAATCTCTGTGCTCTTTGATTCTGTAGTTGCATGGATGATGAAGAGTCCTTGAACGAGGCGGAGGCAGAGGATCAGTCACAGACTGAGGACAGCAGCGCTGGCATGTGCAATGGCAGCCTGGGTCGCGAGATTTTGAACACCGTGCAACGCAACGAGGCCGCAATGCAACAGAAACAAAGGCAACAACAACAACAATTGGGCAAAAAGGTGAGTTCAGGTAGCAAATTCAATGCACAGCGGGTGGTTAAAAGAGCTCTCATTATTCAGGTACACTATGCCGAGCAGGATCATTATTTCAGCCATGATGGCGACAGCTCAATGAACTCTTCACAAATCTCAACGGGCATTGATGATTATCTGGACGAGGCGCTGGTCGGCGACTATGGCAGCACCCAGGAGGACGACAGCGAGGATGAGAACAATGCCAGTCATCTGTCGCTCGGCGTGAGTATTGCAATGGGTAGCTGAAAGTAAAGTAGTTGCCTCAAAATGTGGCATACTAGTTGCATCCTTTTAACCTTTTTCTTTTCCAAGATTCCCTTTTTATTTAATTAGATGCATTTGCACCTCTAAAACGAAAGCATTCCAATGTTTATTTCCTCAGTCCAATATCAACCCGATCTAAATCGAACAGTATTTTAAACATTTACAGAGCAAGGGCACCACTGCATCCAACAGTTTCTCGTATCGCAAGACTCCGGCTGCTGTTGCCGCCGAGTCTGCTGCCTGTCGGACCATTGAGGAGCAGCATGACGAGGCCATGGATGTGCAGACGCCATTGCCGAATGGGGCACAGCCCGTCAAGTCCGAGCTGAGCGTCAATCAGGACAATGACAATTTGGTGACGCTGGTGCACACCGTCAGCTTCTATCGTCGCCAGCAGAGCGCCAATGTAAGAAATTAACTATTGCTGAAGCAAAACAAATCTAATCGTAAACCATTTTCCGTAGAGCTCCAACTCGACGCCTGTGCGCAAGATATGTCGGGAGCAGCAAGTTATGCGCTCAGCGCTCGCCAGCGATTGCCATGCCAAGCACAAGCTGGAATATGATTCACCGCAGCATGGCGAAATGGCTGCAGCTGCTGCCAGTGCTGCGCCGGTCAGCATTGATGACTGCAGCGAGGAGGATGACGAGGAGCTGCAGAATGCACGCGTTTCAAATGAGTCGTCTCAGGCGCAGGACAAGATTAAGAAGCTGCTCAGTGAGGTGTGCAAACAGCAGCAGGTGATTGGCCAGGCCAGTCAGGCGCTCAATCTGTGCGCTGCCACCGTTGAGTTCTCCGGCTCCACCGAATCCGTTGAGGGCGAACGCTATTTGTTGCTAGCCAGTAAGTGGCAAATGTCTAAACTTATATATATAATATAATAATTAATAATATAATTTAATATTAATTACACAGCGCATCGTCGGCAGGCGTGCTTGGATGAGGTGCAGCGGCTGCGCGTGGAGAACAGCGTTCGTCCCGTCGGCGCACCCAAGGAGAAGGGTCTGCTGACCGTCAAGGATATCACAATACCGTTGCGGCAGGAGTATGTGCGTAAAATGGCCACGGGCAACATCAATGGTCATCATTTGGTCTGCCTGCTCAAGTACAATGAGCACGTGCTGGCCACTAAAACGGTGCCAACGATGCCCGGATTGCTCTCTGTCAAATTTCCCGATGTGCTGCAACTGAATAATGTCTATGCTGATTTTCGCGTAAGTCGATAATCCGGTTATTATCTTCTTTGAGCATTTGTTTTCAATTGTATTCGATTTGCAGATTACACTGGAGATTTATGGCATGCTGGCTCAGCGGGATCAGCTGCCGCACGAGCTCAAGTATCACATCAATGTGAACAAGAAGGGCGGCATTAAGACGCCCAAGAAGAAGGGCGGCGAGAATCGTTTGGTCATGCCGCCCGTCCAGAGTCCGGCTGGACCACATGTGGTGCGAACGCCTCAGCTTGTGCAATATGGTTTTGCCATCTTCTCGCTGCGTGAGATTCAGCGCACCAGTTGGACGCTGACGCAAGTGCTGGGCGTCAGTCCGCTCGATGGCACCGTTCACATGAAGGTCAACTGTGAGCTGTCGGTGAGCGTGGAGTACAAGGGTTTCCTCACCATGTTCGAGGACATCTCTGGCTTTGGTGCCTGGCATCGTCGCTGGTGCCATCTAAATGGCTCGGTGCTCAGCTACTGGAAGTATCCCGACGATGAGAAGAAGAAGGCGCCCATGGGCAGCATCGATCTGAATGCATGCTGCTCCCAAAAAGTCAGCACAGCGCCGCGTGACATCTGCGCCCGGTTGAACACCATGCTGCTGGAGTGCCAGCGACCGGCGCTGGACACCGATCAGGAATCGTTGATTATTGTGCCCAATGGACGCACCACAACAGTGCGTCATCTGCTCTCCGCTGATACGAAGGAGGAGCGCGAGGAATGGTCTGCCTATCTGAATAAGGCGCTGACGCTGCTGCGCGCTTGGGGTACAACGCATTAATAAGGACACGGAAAAGAAACAGCAGCAGCAGCAGCGGCAATTTGGGTCGGGATTATCCTGAGCGTTTTTTTATGTTTTCATTCTTATATATATTTTAGTTGATCTTTATATTTGCGCTTCTTTTTTTGCTTCGCGGTGCTTTATGTTAGCATTTATATCTAGTACCGTGTAACTGTAATGTTCTGATGAATGTTCAGATGGAATAAGTATTGTGAAAAGTATTGTTGAAATTCCGTTTTCTAAACATATTTATACTTAAAATACATTTAAACCAGTCTCACAAAATATATGTAAAGCAAAAAACCCAATTCAAACATGTTTTTCTTCCGTTGATTAAGTTTTTATTGAATACATTTTCACTATACACATATATATATATTTTGTTCTCTTTTGAATTTTATATATTTTGACTATGTGTGTGTGTGTTTGTGTGGTGTGTGTGTGAAGGGATACCGTTATGCACACCACATATTGTTTACTTTTACTACCAACAAGTGTTATATACTTTTTTTTTAATATTTTATTTGTGTCCTGAATTTGTTAGGTGGTTGTTGTTTTTGTTGTATGTTTTATATATATATATATATATATTTTGTTAGGTAGTATCTAAACAATTGACTCTAGTTTTATGAGTTATACGATTAGGTATTAGGTATATATATATATATATATATATATGTATCTGTATATATGTATAATACTGGCAATTGGCCTAAAGGCTATCTACAAAATTGAATACAATTTATGTACTGCATTTAAAAGTGTGCAATTTTATTTACTTGCATTTAATGTTAGTTAATTCATCTATGTCACAACAAATGTATATCATTTAGATTTGACTTTGACTTTAATTGTAAATACTTCAAAATCAACGTTAACACACCTCCGATATGATTTGCAAGTATTTAACTGCCTTTGTGTGTGTGTGTGGGTGTGTGTGTGTAAAGGTGTGTGTATATAAGTGTATATATACAAATTGGAACAGGCTGTGAACAGGATACAGTTGGTTAGTTCTAAATTGTGTTCGAAATATACACATTTATCTGTATATTTGAGTTTCTATGTTATTTGAGCAAATATTTAGTATATTTATGTTTAGATATTGTTTTGTTAGCTATTGTATAACTGGAATGTAGTTTAAACTGGGCATTCATAAAGCGTCCAACTGTTTCCCCCGTCTGTTTGCTGACTCAAACTCGTCGTTTATTATTGGCAGTCCAGTCGAACTTCTCTAAAATGCTTTCATGAATATTTTTTCTCCTATAGCTCATAGAAATATTCCACAAACTCTCAATTTCTGTTTCTTTTCGTATCTTTTCGGTTTCTTGGTTGATGCTTAAACACTTTGCGTACCTTTTCCTTAATTAATCAACGTTTTAAGGAACCAAAACTTTTGTCTTAAAAAAATCTTTCCTATATCTATTTCAGATCGTTGCAGAGTAGCTCGACTGTGTTAACTGTTACTGGAATGTTTTATTTTTTTTAGTGTTAAATTTAGTAAATATTAGACACTCAGAAAATTGAACTGGGCTTGCAAATTGCGGGTAGAACTCAGTTTGTTAATGGAAATGAAGACGCATTGTGCTTTATAACAATTGGCTATATAAACATACACATATTATATGGTTGGCTATAACATTTGAGGATTATACAATATGCCCCCCAACAATATGGGGCTTAAGCAAAGTTCAACTACTTAAACATATATATTTTTGCTTGACAAGTGTTAGGGTTCTTTTGTTCTTTTGTTGTTTTGTTATTGTTGTTTTTTTGTTTTAGTTGTTGAAGTCGCGAAAGAATAGAGATAAAGCTAAATTTTCATCACAAGTCTTTTGATATTGCAATTATTCAAATATTCCATTAACTTACGCACTAAACCACAAAAGTTTGCTTGGCCAATATATATAAAAATATGAAAAAATAATTGCCTAAGCTAACCTCACAAATATATGTACGTATTTATATGTATATAAAAATGTATGTGTGTGTTTTTGTGTTTCAAATGTTGCTATGCAATTTTTAATAAACAATTGTAAAATTCAACACATTTCACTTAAAGCTACCAACACAAACGAGCACGTTTAACAAACAAATGCAATAAATTAAAAAACAATAATTTTAAATCGATATGCATTACAAATACTATCATCAAATTTGTAAAGGGCGACCCTGTGTGTGTGTATGTGTGTGTGTGTGGGTGTGGGTGTATCCGTTTTTGTGGTGTGTCTGTATGTGTGTGTGTATTGGTTTGTTTACGGATTAACAGCTTGACCACTGGGTTGCACCACTTGAGCATTCTGTCGCCGCAAATCGGATCTGGTGGCCGCCGTGATCGCAGTGCCGACAATCAGCATCACAGCCATCGCCACGTTGGCGGGCACATCTCCGTACGAGTAGAAGAGCTCCGAGTAGAAGAGTGTAAAGCAAATGCCAAAGGTCTGCGCCGAGGCATTCAGCAGCCCCGATGAAGTTCCCTCCGGCTCGGGAAACGTTAACTCCGCGCCAAATTCAAAGCCCACCGGCAGATAGCCAGTCATGAAAAAACTGCATTCCTGTTAGTCTGAGTGCTTAAAGCGATAATTTATTGCCTGCCACCAACTTACCCAAGGAGCGAGGCCGTCAGATAGACGACTGCGATATGTCCAGTGTCCAGTGTAAAGGTGAATATCCACATGCCCACCATGGAGAGCGCATACACGGCTAGCGTTGTCTCCCTGCAACAACACAAACATGCAGCTCATTTTAGTTAAGGAGTGAGAAGTCTTTTTCGGGTTAGTTACTCGCATGCAAATGCACAAAATCACACTAACTTTTAGAAAATTGCTTTAAAATGAGTCTTTCTACTTTCTAGCAATAATTTCTAAAAATATGGTTTTCACTGTCTTCAGCTCAACTGTTCTTTTATTTTAGAGAACATATTTCAATTATGAAAAAGAGGTCCTCAAACAATAAACGAAATTAAATTACTAAATTAAATTATTTCTAAATATAGAAAACAATTTCATAACTGTAATAAAAGTAGAAATTGAAACGGTTGTTTTATTTTTTTTTAGAAATTATTCATTCGGAAGCTACGCAAAAGGTAATAAAACTCATGCACATGTAAAAAAAATACCCTGGAAATTATTTTTTTTCTTCTACATTTTAGACAAATTTAACCCGGAATTAAAAAAACCCTGTTTTTTGGATAGACACGTGAGTTACACTTGTAGTATTCTTATCGTACTCTGATTTTAGGTAACTCTTTGACCCACTTTATGAGGACAACTTGACAACTAGGAGTTACAGACACAAATATAGACTCATCTTAAGCTGTTCAAAACAACATCATTAATCTCAATTCATTTCTGAATGTCTCCCAGTCACAAAAATGCATATACTCACAGCAAGGGCATTTAAAATGCACTTAAAGTTTTTGCATTTGCGTACGTTTGCATGGCGTACACGGCGTATGTGTAATCAGGGACTCGTTGAAACAAATTGCTTGGCACTTACTTGAACTTGTGCGTCTTATCCAGAACAATGCCGGATACAACCGAGCCCAGCATGCCGGCCAGCACAATGCTCAGACCAATGCGACCCGTGTCGACCTCATGACCTGGATAATACTTAAGCACCACCTGCAACAAAAATAGAGAAAAATGAAGAAAAAAGAGAAGCTGCGTTAGCTAGTGAGTCAGCAGAAGTGAGGCTGCACTGTACCGGATTGAGTAGCGTCGAGATGGCATAGAAAACGCCCACGTTGATGCCATAGGAGAGCAGCAGAAAGATGAAATTGCGATTGGTCATCAGATTCTTGAGCGATTGGAAAAAGCTGACCTGCTCCTCGGCAATGCCCTCCAGACGCTGTGCAGCTTCCTGGGCAGCCGATGGTGGCGTCGGCGGCTTATCCTGGAAGACTATCAAGTGAATAACAGTTAATCGTATAACTGAAATTGAATTCTTTAAGGATGCCGCTTACAAATGGCCATGAGGACGAGCAGTATGCTGGTGAGTCCGGCGACCAGATAGAACATCAATTGCAGATCGCTGCCCACTTGATTCAGATCATCCGAGTTGGGCACCAGCATCGGTGGCAACACAAATCCAACAGCCACGCCCAGCTGTAAAAGTATTTCATCATTTGTTATTTGCATTAGAGCTTTGGATGGTAGAAGCGCATCCGTTTCCGGCTGTTGTGTCCGTTCGGTGTCGTGTCTTATTTATGTTGGCGTTAGTCGTTTATAAAATTGATTTATGTGTGTGTGCCCTGCCCTGCCACATGACAGTTGCCGCCACTGCTGTTGTTGCACTTTTCTTTTTCGTCAAAGTTTGCCCCGCAATTTCATGGCAAATAACATTTCAGGGCTAAAAAACATTTCACTAGCCGCAGCTGTGCTGTGGCAAAACTTGCCCACATGCCCCATTTCTGCCCCATTTTTCCTTTTATTTTCAGTTTCGCAATTTTGAGTGTTGTGTGCAGAGTTTCTCTTTATTTCTTATTTATGCGCTGTGCCCTTCGAAAGTGGCCAAATAGAAGGGTATTATGAAGCGGTCAAAATTGTTACGACCAAGAGACGATTTTCATATTGGGCCATTTTTTGGAAAAGGAATTTTAGATTAGAAAAGTTATATAATCTATGTAGATTAATTATAACCAAATTAAAGCTGGAATCCCCCGTCCTTTTTCAGAAGGAAATTGTTTTTCTGCTTAAGAGACACTTTACTTTTCCTGTCTTATTAAATTAAATATATTCCTTATTTATAAACTGTATCGTCCAGTTGATTTTGCTTTGTCCTCAGTTATCTTCTTAATAACAACAATAACAATCTTCAACACTTTAAGGGCCAAGAACAGGGTATCTACTAGTCAATCAGTTAGAAGCGGAGCATAGTTGTTTGGTATTCAGCTTTCTGTTGTTTATGGGAAATTGAATTTAGCCTATAAATCGTATTTAGCGATTAAGGCAAATAACTTTGACGGCCGATTGCAAACTGAGTGCAATTTAAATTGAATTTTAATTATTTATTATATCAATGCGATTACAATTTTATTGTTAACTTCCATTTCTTGAAAGTCATTTCTTATTTACACTACTAAGTTAAATACATTTTATCAAAGTCATTTAACTGAGCCAATCTAGTTTGAGTGTAAGAGAATTTAATAAATTTATGGCTGCCTTAAATTTATTTTTATTTAATTCGATTTGGCTTAACGGCAGCATTCTTATATTAAATAGGTTTTAGTTTGTTTTGGTCAAAGCCTAAGGCTTAAGGCAACGAGAATTTAATAGTAAAATATAATAATAAATTCAATTTATTTCTCTTTGCCTTATGGCAACAACCAAAACAAGCCAAAACTAATCTAATGTTCAGTAAGGTTAATCGACTATTGCCTTGGGACTTCTTTCGCTATGTCAAAAGAAAATCAAACGAACAAAAACTTCGACGAACTTGGGCCCACTGCATTAAATTTGCCATTTTAGATTTATGCCATGCAAATGCCCTCTCAATATTCCTGGGTATTGTCAATGCAACAATTTACATAAATTATATTAAGAGCAGCATTTGAATAAGTTGCCTAAGGGTAAGTGGTTGGGTGTGTTTGTGGGTGTGGGTGCGTGGTGTGGGTGTGTGGTTCGCAAGGTGCACTCGCATCCAAAGTACACATATGAGCCTGAGCAGCAGCTTGAGAATGCCAGCCAGCAAATTGAAAATGCAGCCCCAATTGAGCGCTGTGCTCAACTAGAGAAATGTATAGTAATGCCCACTAGAGAGCATTTTAACAGCGATTGGGGGTTCACAGCAATAAAAAAGACAAACACAGGATGTTAGCGATGAGCACAAGGATGTGGGGCGGAAACGGGGAGCATCAGGCAGCTGAATGCAGAGGAATTCGTTTCCTGGCATGTTTACAAATGCGTATGAGCCAACACAGCTTGCTCTTGTTGCTGTTGTTGTTCTAACAGCTAACAAAAATACCAAAAAAAAACAACAAAAAAAACAAAAAATCAAGAAAAGGAAAAACTAGGTTTGTTCAGCACTTGGGCAAAGCGTCACGAGGCAAAAAGCCAAAGACATAGCTGTGGCTATATCTAAAACCAAAACCCATGCTCAAAGCTTGTTCCACTGGCAAAATCCGCTTGTCGGCTTTCGGTAGAAAGTGGCAAGTGCGCCCATGGCGTTGTCCTTGCCAGATAAGGCGCCAAACCCTGAAACGCTGACAACCCTGGCCACGCGTGTTCACTGGCGTTCAATGCCAAACTATGCAACTAACAAGTGCCGCCCGCTATTTGAATTTTTACTTTTGATTATTATTTTTTTTTTAGAGTATATGGATTTTTTGCAATATCCGTGTTGCTGTCCGGATGTGGGCAATATTTTTTAGATATGAAAATGTGAATATATTTTGGTTTACTGCACACCAGATTTATTCTTGGAAATGGGAGAGAATTTTTTATTTATTTAAATAATTTCCACGTTGGCAAAATAAGTAATGTAATAATACAGCTAGAAACGTTTTTCTTTAAAATAAATATTACATATTTAAATTTGTTAGAATTAATTTATATTTTTGAGAAGCATATCTAAAGAGTAAAAGTTCAATTTTTATAGGACTTTTTCCACAATATAAATTAGAAATGGGATCCCTACTTTTAAAAAATACAAATTAGTTCTTTCTATTTACTAAGCTCAGGGATATATATTGTACTAATTGTATTTTTCTAAATATATTTTCCAAGTATACAGAACAATTTCCAACAGACTCACAGCTAGAGTTTATTATCCCCAAAGCTTGTGTCTTTTAATTGACATAAATCACTGCTTTAGCTTCATAATCAGGTGGTCCAATCTTGTCCATCTGCTTATCTGAGAACAGAATATTACGCAGTCGTAGCTCGGGTTGCTTATTTGAATTTTGTATGCTCTTTGGCACTCAGCGCCTTTGGGGCACAAGTTCGACTTGCGACGACTTTTTAAAGGCAACATTTGCATTTTGGCTTTATCCATTGAGCAGCTACTTGACCTCAACCAATGCAGCGACAAGCAGGTGGAGTGTTGATGTTGACGATGACGTTCGACGGCAGTGTACAGTGAAAACACCCACACAGACACACACATAATACAATGAGAGGCGACCTCATATTGTGACATGAACATCCCATTGAGACTTCCTGCCGAGGCGAGTCGGGTCTGAACAACAAGCGGAAATTATAAGCCTTTTCAGTGGCGCTGAAGCGTATGGTAAATATGACAGTGCACACACACAGACAGACAGACAGACAGACAGACAGGCTCACACATACACACAAGCAAACACGCATTTAGCCATGTATGTGAGTCAGCATGTCAGTCAACTATTTCAATGTTTGTGCTGCTTATTTGCAAGTTCATCCAAGCAGGTAAGCTGGTCTTGCTGTCCTCATTATGGCACAGCTGCAACACGTTGCAAGTGAGTACATTATTTGCTCGTAAGTCACCATTAATGCTGAATCCCCTTCTCCCGAACCCTTAATCACCATTTAGCCTTACAGCCTAATGGCAAATGCAAGCTGCACTAATTGTTTTGCTTTGTAATGCGTTCATATCCTGTCAGGAGGATTGTTAATCAGCCAAATGTCAGGGAATAAATGCCAAAATATCAAAGTAGCCGTATCATTGCGCAAAGGTTAGCAAAAACATTGGAAAAGTTATGACTACAAAGGGGTAAGCAGCGAAGGTTTGTGAAAACACTCAGAAAAAATTGAGCAGACATTGTGATAATAGACTTGAAAACTAAAAAAACTTGCTCTTGTTTTTAGAATTAATTTCCTCAAAGTGGAAGAGCTTTTTTAAATCTTTTTTAGAAGTATATTTCTGAATAATACAAAATATTTCTAAAAAGTAGAAATGCCAATTCTTATTTTTATAAAAAATCATCTATGATATTCAGAAAATAATAATGAAATTTTCTTTGCTTTGCTTATAATAATAATATAAATAATAAAAAAGTTTATGTAAAGTTATATGTACACATATAAAAACAATACCCTGGAAATTATACATTATTCTTCTAAGTTTTAAAACAATTTTCCCTGAACTTGAGAAAAACAAGCCCTGGTTTTTAGAAAAGCTCAACTTTCCCTTTTAGAAATATACTTTCGGAATTATAAAGGGAGTTGTCCTTGGTGCAAAAAGTATAGCGATTTTTTTTCTGTGTGCATTAAAAAAATATGTAATGTTTTGTAGTTTGACATTTGCAACAAGCAAAGCAACAGCAAAATGTCGAAAGTCATAACAGATGCCGTAGCTAATATTTTGTTAAATATTCAAGTATCTTATCTTCGAAAAGAACTGTCGAAAAACTTTTTGAGAACTGGGTGGAACATGATATCAGAGTTCGTAAACTATTGATTATTTATATAATCTATATCAACTATATCTTTTATTTAGAGGTCTGCGTTTTTCTGCATCTTTTTTATACCAATGCAGAGAATTTTAAATTTTGTCGTGAAGCTTGTAAAGCATTGAAGGATATGGTATCCAATCCCATAAAGTATATATATATATACGAGTATATCTGCTTATTCTTTATCAGCATCAAAAGCTGAGTCAATTTAACCATTTCCGTCCATCTTTCCCCTCAGTTTTGAAACTACAAATCTTCATTAAAACAATCCGTCGAAAGATGAGTTTTGGGATCAAGATAGGCTTATGCATTTTATAGTATATATAGAACTATTTGATCACAAAATATTATTACAATTAATTGAAAAAATAATGAAAGTATAATTCTCACCTATAAAATACATGAATCATTTCGTTTAAAGACTTTAAGAAATAATTCAAGTAGAATATGGAAAAATTTCACTTATAAGAAAAGCTGTCTGCAAAAAGTGCACTTCAAAGTGTGCTTAAATTTTATTTCGCTAACGTTAAAGTGTTAACTGCGCCACAAAGTGTTGCGTTAATTGGTTGCAAGTTTGTTGCATTCATTATTGATGTAATTAGGCGTATGCTGCAGCTGCAAGAGTGTTGGCATTAAATGGCTTTTAGCATTTAAGCCAAAATCTAATTGCATTTTAGTCCGACAACACTTGCGTACCACAATTAACTGAGGCATGTCCCACTGAGTTCCGGTTTCAAAATGAATCCTCAACAGTGGTCAGCTCAAGGCGTCGTCTCAATTAAGTTATGCAGTTGCACGAGTTAAGGATTGCCAGTTGCAACCTTTAAGTGACATTTTCATTTGTGGACAGCACACACTCTGACGCTCTGCCACTCTGACACTCTGGAACTCTGACACTCTGAATAGGTCAATTCCATTCGTTTGTTTTCACAGTCGAATAAATTGAAAATGCTCTGCAAAGACTTTATTTTTTGCTTTACCTGCCAGCCCTATTTGCATTCGTGTCTGATGCAATGAGCTGTGCAATCAGTTTGCTTAGTTTTGTTCAAGTCATTTCTGTATCAATCTCGAGTTGCCGTTTGGCAACCCTTGCAGCCCTCTTAAATGGGTCAAAGGAGTTTTTGTGTGCAAATGTAATAGCTAAAAAATACAACTCCGATCAGTGAGCAACATAAAATGAAGAATATATTCAAAACATTTAAATAGTGATTTCCTTTTCCATTTCTTTTTCGTTTTTGACAAAGGACTTCCGTTTCCATTTTTGTCTTTTCTAATTTATGCTCGATTATTATATAATTTATGCTCGATTATTTCTCATTTAAAGGAAATCTCTTAGTCGTTAATCCTAACTATTTTTCTTTTTTTCTTGGGGCTTGGCAATTTTGGTAAATGGTCGCATCATGTAATACAGAAGTGAGAGAAATGGGGCTGCAAATAGCCATTTCCGCTGGCCGGAAATGGGTCTGCCCCACACAAGATGTAAAATAGTTAGCGCAAAAAACGCTGCAATGTCATTTTGGCATGTCAGCTAAGCCTTTCGCATCAATCTGGCCAAAACACTGCTGCAGTTCAACCCTTTTCTTGTCTATGCAAATTTTAGCCGAACATCCTCGAAAAGTTATGTAATGAAAAGCGCTTACAAAAAAACTTAATCCAGAACAGCGGGACGAATGCGTAATTTACGCCTTTTAATTTAAATTCCTGTTGCAGCTTTTGCTTACCTGATTGCCAAAGACGCCAACACTGGTGGCCGAGGATACCTGATCGGGTCCAAACCAAACGGCTGCCAGACGTGCGGGCAGCGACAAAATGCAGACCTGATGAGAAATGCAGCTGAAAGTGGGCTTAAATTAAGAGATGAGGGTTAACGGGATTACCTGTGCAAGCGCGACAATTGCCTGTCCAATGAAGCTGACATAGAACAAAGATGGGTCCACCGAGAAGACCTTGATCCAAGCGCCCAAACAAGTGCCCACAATGCCAACCAGCGCCGTAATGCGCAATCCCTGATGGAAAATCAACCAGAAACCCAATCAATCCCACTAACAATAAACCATAAAAAAAAAAGGAAAACGCAAAACAATTGTTAAGCTGCATGCATCACTCACCACTTTGTCGAGAAACCAACTGCCTGGAAATATGAGCGGTATATACAATATCATATAAATCATAGACGTCCAGTCGACCCACTTGTCACTGATGCCATAGTAACTGCAACAAACAACATCAAAATAAACTTTCTGACAGTTGCAGTTTCAACTTTGTGCCCCACTGTGCTCCACTTTAATGAGCTTGGAGGAAAGTTTTAATTGAATGTGCCGAAACGTTGATTTTAAATCAAGTCCCCAAAGCTCGGTGAATTGTATAGCACCACCTGCACCACAGTAACCACTTACCGTGTTATTATATTGTTGATAATGGTGTATTGTATCCATTGCATGGCATTGGATGCTGAATAGAATACAAAGAGTATGAGCACCGCCCAGCGTCTTGCATAGACCTTATACCCTGAAAAAAATACAACAAACTAGACATATTACATACACTCAACATACATACACTCAACACACACACACACACACACACACACAGACGCACACGCACACACACATCCAGCTATATATTAATACAGGTAAAAGCCACTTGATGTGCAACTGAATGGGTTTTTAGTTGTTGCACTTACAAGGCTACAGCCAGAAGCAGACGCATCAGATTAACTGTACTAGTGGCCAGGTTACTTGCAAATCTGACTGGCATATCAGATTTGTGTGTATATATATATATATATATATATATATGTATATGCATTGTGCATTTGAAATCCTTTTGTCTGATTGCTCACTCTGACTGAAAGCTCAAATATCCCGAGGATGTTATGCTAACTTGCTTACAAAATACTATGAAATCACTTACAATCAAAAGGAAATTAGTCCCTTTATTTATTCTAGAATATAGCTTAACATTTTCTGAGTGCAGCCGACATATTTTAGACAGTATTATAAGGGCATTCAATCTGCGGCAAACTATTCTTTTTGTTTTAATTTTAACCATTTCTATTACAGCTCTTGTTTCAATTGAAAATCCTCGTCACTATGCTAGACAACAGCTTATATTTGTATACTCTGTAGCCAGTAAATAGAGTGGAGTATTATAGTTCCGACGGCATTTAATTAGTATGTCTGGCATGTTTTATCATATGCTCTAGTATATATTAAAATAGTATTCTTAATATCCACTTAAAGTCAGTCTCAAATGCTGCAATCAGCGCGTTTTGTAAGCAATCGCGTATACCCTATCTTTATAATTCAATCATATTTATTATGCAATTGTATATCTTATCTTTAGTTCTTTAACTAAGAAATAATATTTATAAACACTATGGCAGAGTAAAAGAGTCTATTAAACAACCGAGTTTATTAATTATTTAATATTAGTTATAAACACAAGTGCCTATTCGCGAGTGCAATAAACAACATTATTTATTTATTTATTAATTAATTATTAAGCACTGGTTAAATGTGTTTAAAACTCTGTACAGGATAACTTCTCTTCGTATAATTCCAACTTAAGCAATTTTTTCACGTTTTCCTAGTTTAGTTTAGTTTATTTTAGTTTAGTTGCATGGCATTGAAAATGCAGAAGGACAGCTTTGATATTTGTTATTTTTAGTTGACACACACACACACATGTGTATATATATGTATACACACATACAGCTGCGAAAGTACATTTGTGATGCGGTGCACGCAAATCACTGAAAGCAAACAAAACTATTGCATACCTTGAGGTGCAGTTAAGTCAAAATGGCCGCTTTGTGTCCGTGCGTATGTGTGAGTGTGAGCGTGCGTGTGTGTGGGAGTGTGTCAGTGTGTGAGTGTGTACTTAAAGTGTTTTGCATGCAAATGTTTAGTTACACATGAACATATGAGCATACATCTATTGAGCATAGCTAATGCCTAAAAGATTTGTGTGTCATGTGACATGCATGTTAACTGTGCGGATAAAGCCTAAATAAATATCCGATTACAATTTGAGCTATTATTTATAAGACTAACCTTCGGGTGGAGCATTGGGCGCTTTGCTCTCCTTGTCCTTGTGCGTGATCATGTCTGTTGATTTACTCGTTGCTATATACGAATCGGCGCTCTCAACGACGCTGGTGGCGCTATGTTTCAGATCCATTTACTAAATATATATAAATATTTGTTATTATATATAAATTCACTTCGTTTATATTCTCTTTTTATGGGCGGTTGTGTGTGTGCTTTGGCTCGCTGTTGCTTCGGTGGTGTCGTTGTTTATTTACTGTACTTGAGTTGGGCAGTTTATTTGGTAGCTGAAATTGTTAAAAATTGCTGTCAAATAGATAAAAGAACATGCAGACACAAATCAGTTCAGTTATTTAATGGCGCCGCCTAAAAATAGGCAACACATTTTTTACATATTACTTTCAACTGCTGCGTATTTGATAAGGCTTTGTGGTTTTGAAATTGTAAAAACTTTGTAACAGCAATAAACACACACACTCGTATTTATATATATGTACATTTATATATATATATATATGTACATATGTATCCAGGCACATACGTGCTCGTACTCGTATACGATGGTTTTAACAACTGGCATAAACATTTCTTGTATGCCCACAAAAGCCAACATAATACAAGCAGACATTATGGCATGCTCCCAACCACACCCCCTTGAAACCACAGCTGCTGGTGGATTATTTAGCCGCCGTTCTTTTCTAACTATATATATAAAATTATTGTTTGGCTTTATATGCCTTGAGCTGGAAAGATATATTGCGCTTAGATAATTAATTCCAATTAGGAGGCAGCAAATTCTGTTGACTTAAACCCTTGTACAGATAGTCTTGAGTCACTTAAGAATTTATACACACGGTTTTTATTCAAGCGATATCGAATTGATAATTCATTATTCCTATACTAGTGATTATTATTTCAATGTCAATTTTAGTTGAAACTAAAATCTAAACAAGAAAGAATTCTCATCATAAATTTTGCTGTCAGCATATTAACTCCGACCTGAAAGGGTATTTATTCCACGGCGTGTCTGAGGTAACAGTTCTTTTTTAATAAATGGTGTAGATGTCACCTAAATATCATCTATCAATTCATTGTTACCAGTGTATCCAATCTAGTTATCTTCAAACTATGTACTGTCTTCAGCAAAAAGACGGATATTTAAAAAGGATATTTAAAACTGATAGATGGACATAGCAATCTAGACTTGACTAGTGATGCTGATAATGAACATATATACTCCATTTATTCTCTTTCAATGAGTTGCAAATTTGAAATACTCTCAAGAATGACAAACCAAACCTATGAAATTATACTGCTCTTAGTTACAGTTATCCCCAATAACATCCAATCAATAAATCAAAATATTGCAGGACATATAATAGTCAAGCATAATTTTCCCGCTCTCCCTTTAATAATTCAATGTGTGATTGTAATAGTTTTAGCCATTACAAAAAATGCTTTTGCATACGAAATGATTTACAAAGATTGATTAAGCCCGGTATTTGTTTTGTTTGGTTTTGTGCACATTCATTAAGCTATTACAGTAAAGTATTCATTTGCATTCGTGCTTAAATTCACATTTAAACAAACAATCATTCACCGTTGTTCTTGTGGTCTTACGTACTTTGACATTGAAATTGCGAGCGCAGGCAACATAAATGAACTCATTGAATCAAATCAGAGCCAGGGATTTGGCTGGGGATTTGCGACTGCGATTGCAATAGAATTGGCATTCCAAATATGTTTGTAGGGAATATGGGAAGGGTGGGGGTAGAGATGGGATTGGGGGATTTTGGGATACAGCATGCATACTTGTTGCGCCCAAAAAACAATCAACTGCCTGACTTTTATGAGCCACACAAATTTCAGCTCGAGTGCCTCTGGGAACGGATTCGTCAGAGTCGAATCAATGTTGTTCATCGCATCATTTTAGCTATGTGAAAAATTGCATGGAACTGCATAAAGTGCCCACAAGTTTTGTTTCAGCTTCACCCTAAAGCGCAATTAAATCGCTGGCAAAGTCGCGTGCCAAATGAAAACCGCCGCAGTCCCTAATTGATTTAACTTTGTTAATGACTGCACTTAAATCAATTTGCCTGCCAAAATGCACAATTTATTTTTATTTTTTTTGTGGGCTGCGTAAATCGCCTCTAATGAGGTGGAAATGTTGCAGCATTGTTTGCTTATGCATGCCAGCAATTTGATTGTGATTTGAATTGGGGAATTGGGGGGCTAACTACCATTTAGAGATACTATATTATCATTGAAATAACTCCCATAACACGCTGTCTGGCATCATTTTTGTTAAGCACGCAGATAAAGTGTTAAACAGCTGTCTGTGTCTGAAGTAAGACGGCTGAATGTAGATGATTAATACACGAAAATAAACAGAGAGCAAGCAAGAGACAAAGAAGACGGCACAAAGCAACAAGCAGTCGTTGAGGCAAACGAGCGATAACAGCCAGAGGCAAAGAACAACCAAAATATCACATCGGCAGCACGCTTTCCCAACAATAATCAAAAAATATAAGGCATACATATGTATTTATATGTTGTACACAAGACCAGCACTCACCACGCGCGCGACTTGGTAGATTTTATTTTTACTATGTGGGGGAGTTCTGTCTGCTGCCAGCTAAAAACTCATCAAGAAGTTGTTTTTCGTCTCATTGTGAGAGCAACGCACGTATTTTATTTCAGTTCGGGGTTGAGTCGCGAGTTAAAAAACCCAAAATAAAATGTAATAAAAAAACCTTAAGGTAGACCAAAACATCCAAAACGCGCCTATCGATTCCAAATGGAACACATTCGCGAAATTCTCGAGAACGAGCGAAATCGGTGACGTTTTGAGAGCGCCGACGGGCGAACTGAAACTGAAACTAAATCCGAAAAACGTCGCTCAGCGCCTGACATAAAATCAACTTTGCAAAATGTGCACTGGTCGTTGTTGTTGTTATTATTGTTATTATTATTATTATTATTGTTGTAAGCAGCTGATTCTTTGAGCAGGCATACTAACTACACAGACACACACACTCGTACACACACACTCGTACACTTGATTTCACAGTGGGCACAGTCAACAAGGTAAACAACTAATTAAAACTTCAAAACAACTTTTTATGTTGATTTCATTACTAGAATTCATTAAAGTTATTTATCGTGCAGATTAAGAATAATATTTTGCTTACAAATTCTTTGATAAGTTGATTTAAATAACAGATAAGCAATTAAGCCAATTAAATTTGTTTATTTTCATTTTATTTACCAACAGCAATTCTTTGAGCATACCGAAAGGACTCAACTTCTGTTTGAACACTTTTTATCTTGATTTCATTACTAGAATTCCTTAATGTTATTTTTCGTGCAGATAAAGAATATTATTTTGCTTAACATTTCTTCTTTTTCGGACGTTGAGTTAATTTACAGAGTTGCAATGAAGCAAATTACTTTTGTTTATTTCATTTTATTTTAGCAATATAGAATTTCTTTGAGGATACAGAAATTAACCATTTAAGAGAAAATTAGTTCGTCTGACAACTCGGAAAAGTGCATTTTTATTGCAAGGTAATTGATTGCACTTAATGCTGAAAGCTTGACAGTTTTTCAAACTTTTAGCTTTAATAAACAACACAATTAATAAGTCTTAAGTCTCTGCTTACGCTATTAATGATATTGACTGCAAAGAGAAATTTATTGAAGCTTTAAGGCTGCAATAAACAAGACAATTAATAACAACTAAAGCTTAAAGCTCGCTTTACAGCACCTCGGAGGGTATTCAATTTGGTGAGCTTCAAGTGCAATCAATTGCACACCAACAATATATTAAATGTTGCGACGTGCAACGTGCTCATTTACACAATTTTACGGCATACAGGTTGCCCGCATACTTTTTGCACACACCGTACAACAATATATGCACTTGGCCACTTGGCCACTTGTATACATATGTACTTATAATATATATTTATATATACAGATGTAGATGTGCATGTTAAATGTGGTTTAACTGTTGGAACCCCCGTCAAAAACACGTTCTTATTTGCGCCCACAGTGAATACACCGTACAGTGAAACAGTATACCAGAATCCATCACAAACGAGTGCTCACTGTATCCCACATATGTCCGGCTGATTCACACTCCAATATAAAAACATCAGTTTAGTCACACATTTGTAATTCTTTCCGTTCTCAGTACTATAAAGCCAAATTCATCGCTCGTTTTCTTTATCAACAACTTCACCACCATTTTTGTTTTGAGCCTCTCTTCGCTCGCTACGAGCTCTTCTCTCCTCTTTTCTCCTCTTCTCTTCTCTCCTCTCCTCTCCTCTCCTCTCCTCTCCTCTCCTCTCCTCTCCTTATGCATTTCACATCGCTTCTCCGTCGCTAAACACAATCATCAATTTGCATACGGTCTGCTTTCTCGTCATTTTGTTTTATTGAATAATTTGCCGGCGGGAACTTCCTCGTTGTGTTGCGTTGATTCGGGAATCGTACCGAGTACCCAGACACAAGGTTTCAAGTCCAAAGTGTGAGTATTTTTCGTGTGGGGGGTCATTATTCGATTAAGGCGAATTATTATTTATTTTTTTTAGTATTACTTGTAATATAAATATTGACAGAGACGTCGCGGGAGCTAAAGGTATCTTTCACTACATTGTACTATATATGTATACTATGATGGTATGTTGCTTATCTCGTCTGCCTTTCCCCTTTCCCCTTCCGACAGCATTGAGTTTGGCATGCTTATCAACCCAAGAGAGGCTAATCGACGACATGCGAATATTTCTCTCTCAAAAGATAATAAAATCGCTGTTCGAGTACTGATTAGCCCCATAACATACGACTTGCCAACTATTTGCGACATCATCATCGATGTGACAGACGTGTATTACTTTATTAGTATAAGTATCGCATTATTAGTAGCCAGGCAAGCGTAAATCCCCTCCATCAGCGATTCCACTTAAATCAATCACGTTTGCTAAAAGCATATGGGCATTTAAATAAAATACACACATTATAATTCACCTGTTCTCGCCCCTAATTAAAAGATAACTACCTTAACCTGTCAAGCAATAATCCCATAATTATCCCAACCAGTGAAAGGGCAATTGGCATGCAAATCGCTTATGCATATAGATTTTGCCATAGGTTTCAGCTATTATTGAACGACACAAAGAGTTGCACCTCGGCTTGCAAGGGGAATTATAGAAATTAGCATTTATACTAAGTCTTCTATAACTTATTTTTAGACTCTGTCGCAAACGGTTGAAAATGAAAGGCAAACTTTTGTTACATGTGTAGAAGTATTCCGTGTGTAAATAACAACTTTAAGACTAATCTCTGATATGGTGCAAACGTGTGCTGTTGTTGCAAATAATGTGAAAACGTGTCTAACAGTTAGAAGTAATTTTGGCCTTATTCGGCACGTCGCGCAAAGTTAATATCGTAAATGTTCGTTAGTCTATCTGACTATGGCTGAGAAGCCAGAGAATTATCCGATTAAGTCGAGTGTTTTTCTCGACGATTTTCGAGATTTCTTATTTCTAATTTTCTAAAACGTTAAATAAAATTATTAATTTGTCTAAAATGTCAGAATACATGAAATCTTAAAATAGCAATATTTAATAATAATATAAGTAACTAAAAAGCTAACGCCAGAGTCCTGTGTGGACATATAATAAAAAATCGCCTGGAAATTACGCATATTTTTCTCTACATTTTAGAAGAATGTACTCTGGAAGTAAGAAAAGAAAAACTCTGGTTTTTTGAAAGACACAACCTTTTTGAGAAATTTACTTTCTGAATAATGAGGTTAGTTAAAAGAATTCAGACTATTATAATCAGATTTTCACTTTTCTAAAAATGTCTGCCTGACAGATTGGGTATATATTCGATATATGCGGTTCCCAAATTATAGAATCCATCAGTCGTAATGAAGATTGGCTTAAAACATTCAACAGCCACATCTTAGTAAAAACTTTTCAATGCCATAACCTAAATCGATTTCAAAGTGACATATTTTGTTTTATCATGGTCTAAATGAATACTGCATTTATGAAATTTTGAGATGCCCCAAAATATTCTACAACCACATGTTTTGAACACTTAACCAATATTCAAAAGCAATCATATTTAACAGTTCTCAGTTGGAAAGTCTAATCAGTTATTGATGCGGTTTATTGGCAGTGTCCCTAAGGGACTTGTGTAATGTGTGGCAATTATAGTTTGGTCCTTTGAATGTGTGCATGCAACAAAGCTCGTTAGGCGTGCTAAGGAGCCAAACACAGCCCGATTCCTGATTGCCGCATTTCTCATGCAGTTGCCACTTTCTGCTCGGCAGTTGCCAATTGTCGAGAGTTTGCAGCGCATTGTCTTGCTTTAAGTTTCACATGAATTCCAAATGCAATTTGTCACTGCGAATGCCTGCCAGGCAATTATTCACGAGTATTTGGACACAGATGAGGACTCGCACTCGGACGAGGATTATCCTTTGGAATAGTATGCGTCCAATTAAGCAGGACTCGCCAGTAGCCAAAATCAGCAGCTGGTGCTGCCCAAAGGAATTAAACTGCAGCTCAGATATTATTGCAAACAATTTATAAAATGGCTCTTGCCACCTCATTCTTTACATGCTTGTGGCCATTTAATCATTTGGCTAAAAGCCCATCACAAGTATTACTTCTACAACTCTTAGCTGCGTATTAAATCAAACCACGTTTCAGCCGGCGCCTTGGGCCAAAAGTTAAATGAATATTTTATGGCGCCATTAAATGAAAAAACCGAACAGGACGTTCATATAGATATAAATATATTTCTTATATATAAATGTGGAACGCTATATGTTGCTTCTTTTTTTTTTTGTATACCCTGTGGCTAAAAGAGAAGTAAGCAGAAGGAGACATCCTCGATCCTTATAATCTCTGCACAACATCAACACAGAAGAAAATCAGTTTGAACTTTCGAAAATCGCCCAAAAGTGAAAACTAGAATTTCTAAAAATACGAACACAAATTCTTAAGATTAGAAAGGATTTTTAAAATTATTCAGTTATCTATTTTTTATAAAAGAAAATATTTTTTAAAAAATAGAAATTCAAACCATTCTTTTTACAAAAATTAAAATTCCCGAAATTCACAAAGTAATGATAATAAAAATTGCTTTCTTTACTTGTATGCTAGAGTTTAACTGCTGTCTAAGATATATAAATTTAAGAACTGCATCAAATATAAACGAAAAATGTTAAGAAAATAATGTTTAATAATAATATAAATAACACAAGAGTAAATAATCTGTGTGCTCTAATTTTTGCTTTAGTTTTTCTTAAGCAATGCATATTCATCATACAAATCGTATATGAATTGAGTTGTTTCAAAGAACCTAAAAAGTAGGAGGTAAATATACTTGATACCAGTTGGCTTCTTCCAAAATAAGCAGACTCAATCTGAAATTAAATAATTTTGTAGCTTTGCCTATGCTTATAGGGTTTTGCATTTGAATCAAGCAAACACTTTTGACTTTGGCTTCTTTGAGTTTCTTCGAGGGCATTAGTTTACAAGGCCAGGCAGACACCTCGTCTCTCTCATCTTCGCACACTTGTGAATGAGACGCCTCATTAATGGCCCTAGGGGGGTGGAGGGGTGGATTCAGGAGGTGTATGTGGGTGGGTGGTGGGTCTGAGTAATTTCGAGTGCGATTACCGCTGCACGCATTTGTCAAGTGGCCGCTTAAGCCCCAGCAAATCTCATAATTACGGGGCGTCTCCTCAAATGCTACATAATTTCCACAACATTTATTTATTAATTAAAAAATTTGTGTAGCTGCTTTGTGCCTCCGACATTTTATC